TTTCAGTAATCTTACCTCGAATCCTTCTCTTGACGTTGAAAACTCTTTGAAATCACTCTTGGTTCGAATCCGGTTTTGATTTGAGACACAAATGGGAGAGAGAGAGAGGGAGAGAGAGAGCACGAAAGTGTGAGAGAGAGAGAAAGAGAGAGAGAGAGAGAGAAACGCACGGGAAAGAAAAAGAAAAGGAAAGAAAAGAAAGGAAAAAGGAAAAAGGAAAGAAAAGAAAAATAAAAGAAAATGACATGTGTAAAATATAACAGTCCAGAAATGCGCCCATACACACTTCTGGATTAAATAAATTACTGTGAATAATTTAAATACCTTAGAATTATTTAAACTCAATTAATTAAATCAGATTAGGCACACTAATAATCTCAATTACCTTAATTAATCTCAATTAATTCTTCAGGGTGTTACATACAATCTATAGATGTTTTCCAAGACAATATAAACCAAGAACATTGTATTCATATAATCTAATTATAAGCTCCTAAACTCCTCCTAATTCATATGCTCAATACGACCATACCACTTTATGGTGCAACCAAATAATGCACACTTTTTTTTTTCTTACAGAAAATAATAGTTTAGTGAAAGCAATATAAATCTTGTACGTCCTTTTCCATCCACTTGAAACTTGAAAGCTCTTCTTTTTTTATACTTTCTCAAGAAAAAATAAAATAAAATAAGGTAACTAATTAATGCATAACATCTCCTCTGTTTTTACAACTAAAACTTGCATCTCTCACCACAAATCATAGTCCATAAGCGCCTATAAAATCCATAAACCTCTTCCCTCCTAAACCACACTTCAAACATTTGTGCAAAAATAGTCTCCTTTGCTTCCTTACCATTCTCTTCCACCAAAATCGTCACATAATCAATACACTCCAAAGCCATGATGAAACAGAGTTTTCTCTGCTTCTCATTCCTCCTCCTCTTCCTCCACCATTGCACTACTACAACTTCAGCTCAGTCGAGTCCGGCTCAAGCTCCGTCCCACGGAGAAAAAATAATAAACATAATTTATTCTTTTTATAAAGAGAATATACATAATTAAGATCTTTATAAAATCAACTAAGTATAAAGCATCAACCAACTATAAACCGTATAAACCAAGTATAAAACATCAACCAGCTATAAACCGTGTGACATAGAGGGTGAGTTATTTATTACTTGACATAAGCGTCAGTATTCTACCAAATCTATATGACAATAAATTATGTGAATTCATTTTTTTTAAGCAAATGTGTACTCACTTATTATATTATTCAATAAAAAATATTTGCGAATTGTGTGATTATGCCTTCAGAAATGTGTTAAATAACTAGTTATTACCGAATAAAGATTTATTCGTAAATCTTCCTTAACCAAATATATAGATTTATTCGTAAATCTTTTATAACCACATCTTTATTCGTTAATCTTCCTTAACCAAATAAGATAGATTTATTCGTAAATCTTTCTTAACTACATCTTTATTTGTCAATCTTCCTTAATCAAATAAATCTAAGCCCGCGCATAAATATGGTTACATCTAAAATTTGACAATGATACTATTTATTGGGACCTTGACGTTCCATTCTTAACAGGTTAATTTTTATTATGACTAGCACAAGCCATTTTTAACGTTTTATCCACGTGGGACTTTTATCCGTGCATTTCCTAACCCTAACTTCTTTTATATAACAATTCAAATTAAAGTCGTTAGTCTCCTAAATTGATTAATTATGATGAGTGATGACTACCCTGTGCTTTATGAAATTGTGTGTTCCAATGAAGCATAGGTCTTTTGACACTTAGGTCCCGTTCATTTCACCGATTTGAGTTTTAATATAGTAAAAAGTACTCAGAAACAATCATATCTAACTTTTTTACTACAGTAAAAAGCTTTTACATAAAGTCACATCTCAACTCGGATCAAAGAACTAAATGGGCCCATAATTTGACGAACTATCATAACGTAACACTCCGTTTGGTACGAGGGAAAGAAAAGAGAATGAAAAGAAAACACATAAAAGAAAAAAAAAAGTGAAGGAAATGAATGAAGTTAATTTCCTTTATAGTGTTTGGTATAATGAGAGGAACGAAAACATGTAATAGCCTAAATAACCATTTTATCAATTGTTTAATATTAATTTAGATTTTAAAATAGGGATACAAAAATAAATTTAGTCATCAATGAGTGGATTCGAGTTTTCCTTCTAATGTTGGAGAGATAAAAAATAGTGACCCCACCTTAATTCTTTTCCATCCTATTTTCCTTTCTCTCATCTCTTCCTTCTTACCAAACAACAAACTCTATTATTTTCCATCTAATAATCCTTCTACCTACTTCATTCCTTCTACTTTTCCATCATACCCAACACACTCTAAATGTTGTCACTATTTTTTTTTTGTTGGTTCCCTATTCATCGTTATCCTTATTCCTCGTATATTTTATGCTATAATAGTAATCTTCGATATAAATAACGGTGCTCGACATCACATCGCAGTGCTCGATATCACATTTTACGTAAAATAAATTTATATATAAAGAGTATTTTAACAAGATTTTTAAAATAGATGGAATTTGTTAACTCATACAAAAGGTAAATCATTTTAAACAAAAGAAGAAATTGGAATTACACTACATATGTGGCAGCAATAGGGAAATTTTAGATTCTTGGCATCCGGAAAGATAATAAAAACAAACTCTTTTAAGTTGGATTTAAGTTTGGGAACAGGTCACCTGGTAGCGTGCATAAGCATCATACTTCCGGGAAACCATAACGAAACATGCACAAAAACAACAACATATAAATAGGCCGTATGTGATTAATACTCTATATACAATATGTAAATAATAATTTATAGATTTAAATGTAAATAACATGCAATATGGCGATCAGCAGTAAAGTTTTGAATTCAGATACAGTTTTAACATGGTTTGTCTGGTTTAGTCAGTGAAAGGAAAATAATGAATCTTAATTAGATTTTTATTAGACTACAGTTTTTATGTAAACTAAGAAGCATAAATACTTTAGTCCTGTACCGCATCTCTCCGAGTGAAGTTCATACTAAGCTAATTTTGGCCAATTTTTGTTTAAGCTTTTGTTTAATATTATACAATCTATAGATATTTTCCAAGACACTATAAACCAAGAACATTGTATTCATATTATCTAATTATAAGCTCCTAAACTCCTCCTAATTCATATGCTCAATACGACTATACCTCTTTATGGTGCAACCAAATAATGCACACTTTTTTTTTTCTTTTCTTACATAAAATCATAGTTTAGTGAAAGCAATATAAATCTTGTACGTCCTTTTCCCTCCACTTGAAACTTGAAAGCTCTTCTTTTTTATACTTTCTCAAGAAAAAATAAAATAAAATAAGGTAACTAATTAATGCATAACATCTCCTCTGTTTTTACAACTAAAGCTTGCATCTCTCACCACAAATCATAGTCCATAAGCGCCTATAAAATCCATAAACCTCTTCCCTCCTAAACCACACTTCAAACATTTGTGCAAAAATAGTCTCCTTTGCTTCCTTACCATTCTCTTCCACCAAAATCGTCACATAATCAATACACTCCAAAGCCATGATGAAACAGAGTTTTCTCTGCTTCTCATTCCTCCTCCTCTTCCTCCACCATTGCACTACTACAACTTCAGCTCAGTCGAGTCCGGCTCAAGCTCCGTCCCACGGAGAACTCTCTCAATCCCCGGCTCAGCCACCAAGCCAACCCCTACCTCAACCACCATCTCAAGTCACCCCTGCTCAAGCCCCGTCCGAAATTCCCCTAGTTCAAGCCCCGCCGCGGAAGGCCAAACCAGCCCCCACTAATGCCACCAAAATCCTAGAAAAAGCCGGCAACTTCGGCGTCTTCATCCGAATCCTCAAAAACACACAAGTCATCAACCAAATTGAAAATCAGCTCAACACCTCCAACTCCTCAACCATTTTGGCCCCTACCAACGGTGCCTTCTCCGGTCTCAAAGCCGGAACTCTAAATTCCCTCACCACAGAGCAAAAAGTCCAGCTTGTTCAGTACCATATTCTTCCATCTTTTATATCACTCTCAAATTTCCAAACTCTCAGCAACCCTGTCCGTACACAAGCTAGTAATACTGATGAGTACCCTCTTAACATTATAACTCAAGGCAATTGGGTGAACATATCGACCGGTCTTGTGAACACCTCGATTTCTGGCACAGTTTATGCAGATAATCAGCTAGCAATTTATAAGGTGGACAGGGTGTTGCTTCCTCTTGCAATTTTCTCTCCAAGGCCAAAGGCGCCAGCACCGGCACCGACATTGTCAAAGCCTAAGAAAGGGGAGTCATCGTCGTCTTCGTCTTATTCGTCAACGGTGTTGAATACTCCGGCCGCCGTGTTAGAGGCATCAAATGCCTTGAGTATTGCCAGAAACGACATGGTGTTGTCGACAGTACTTGCTGTCGTTTTAGCAGTTTTTTCTGTTGGATCGTTTTGATCAGCTTTCTTCTGATGAGGACTGATTGTGTTGTGCTGTAGTTGGATAGGAAGGAATTTGATACATTCCAGTGAGTGGTTTGGAATAAATATTGGTCATTTGCGTTAGACTTATCTGTAGTTTAAACATGCTTTGGTGTTTTGAATGATGGGATTCTGTGCTGTACTATGAATTGAATTAAATTTCATTCTTTTTGTGAGAACTGAAATAAAGCTTGTGACATCTGAAACTGAGAATTAACTACCTCCAAGCTTCAAAATGTTTTTACTTAATGAAGAAAGCATCAATATTTCATACACCACACTTTGTACTTGTACTATTGGTTAGAAGATGAAAATTTGCCTTAGTGAATTATTAATAAAACCGACTAATGTATACAATTTGGTTAGTGAATTACAACTTTTCAATTTTAAATGCAATTGGCTTTGGATAAATAATTTTATTGAAATTCACTAAATCAAAAAATATAACTCATTTACCACATCTATTGTAAACTTATTGCGATTTTAAAATAAATATGGATTCTGCAACATCTATCTTTACTGCACTAGTGCCCAAGTGAAAAAGTACTACTTTCTGTTTTTGTCAAATATCAAATTAGAATTTTTTTGCCAAATATTTTATTTTACCAATAACGGCCGTACTTCTCACCAATGTGTTGATGGCCTCACTTTCTATTTTACATGTCAATGACGTATAAAAGCTGATGTTGCTTGCCGTTTACCATTATATCAGCAGGTTAATGAGTAACACAGCTAGCAAAAATAAATAAATAAATATTCAAATAAAACTAACAAAATAAGAAACATTTTCTTCTTTTTCCTATGTTATTATAAATACTTTTAGCTAAAGAAACTAAGCATTAACTGGCATTGGTTGTGAAGGAAACAGCTAGCGACTTAGCAGTACTGTTCCAAACTTGCAAACAATCAGTGTCAATCCCAATCTTCTGGACTTCTATTTCAGCGGGGCATATGCTAAATTTTTGTCTCAGTGGCGGTGTATATGAAAAATGTATTTCAACAGGACACAATGAGAAAATCACAAATTTATAAAGATTATTTTTAAAAAATAAAAGAATACAGTGAAGGTCGCTCTCCCCACTCATCTTCAAGTGACGGAGCTTATGCTCATGCATTTATGTCAAGAAAATCATGTATATCTTTTTCTCTTTTATTTTCTAAAACAAATCTTCTATTAATCCGTTGAGAGCACCCACTTGAAAACTGCATATGTTTTTCCTGCTTTCCTAAGCAATCTCAATCTCTTCAATAGTCCACTCCACCTTTCGAAAGTACAGAAAATCAAGTGACACTACAAATGTTTTTCATAACTAATTGAAATTTACCATTTAGCAATAGACAAAGTTCATATAATGCAAATTCAAACATGTACATCATATACCAGCCTAAAAAAGTTATACATCATACTCCACGTGATATTATTGTAAGATGATTTTGTAACTTCTGTTGTGTATAAGAAATTCCGTATATTATATAGCTGTTGACAAAATGAGCATTTTTCAATTGGAAAAAAGGAAGAAATATTTTCTCTCTACTGGAAAATCACAGATTAGTGAAAGCAATGTAAACCTTGCGCGTCATTTTCCCCTCCGCTGAAGTACCCACACGTCGACTTGAAATCTCCTCTGTTTATCTGCCTCCTCTGTTTTCTGCTTTCTCAAGAAAACTAGTTCGTAACTCTTTAACGTCTCCTCTGTTTTTTGCCAACTACATTTTCACATCTCACCAAATCCTTATCCAACAACACCTATATAAAGCGTTAACCTCTTCCTCTCCTAAACAACGCCTCAAACATTAGCATTCTCTTCGACCAAAAAACAACCTCATATTTACATCACTTCTTTAAGAAACATGATGAAAAAGTTTCTGATTTCCCTCTCATTCTTGTTTCTCTTCCTCTTCCATAGCAGTGCTAAAACTCTAGCTCAGTCCAGTCCAGCTCAAGCCCCATCCGTGGCTCAATCGCCTTCTCAAAACACGGCTCAAACCCCGGCTCAGTCACCAGCCCAATCTGTTGTCCAAGCTCCCTCACAAGCCCCGGCAGAAATTCCCCTTGTTCAAGCCCCGCCGCGGAAAGCCAAGCCAGCAGCCACCAATGTCACAAAAATTCTAGAAAAAGCCGGCAACTTTGGCGTCTTCATCCGCATCCTCAAAAACACACAAGTCATCAACCAAATTGAAAATCAGCTCAACACCTCCAACTCCTTAACCATTTTGGCCCCTACCAACGGTGCCTTCTCTGGTCTCAAAGCCGGAACTCTAAATTCCCTCACCACAGAGCAAAAAGTCCAGCTTGTTCAGTACCATATTCTTCCATCTTTTATATCACTCTCAAATTTCCAAACTCTCAGCAACCCTGTCCGTACACAAGCTAGTAATACTGATGAGTACCCTCTTAACATTATAACTCAAGGCAATTGGGTGAACATATCGACCGGTCTTGTGAACACCTCGATTTCTGGCACAGTTTATGCAGATAATCAGCTAGCTATTTATAAGGTGGACAGGGTGTTGCTTCCTCTTGGGATTTTTGCACCAAAACCAAAACCAAAGGCGCCAGCGCCGGCACCAACATTGGCAAAGCCAGCAAAAGACTCATCAGCGTCGTCATTGTCCTCTTCCTCATCATCGTCATCGACGGTTGATAGTCCTCCTGTGGCATTAGATGCATCTAGTGCGCATGGTCTTATTCTTACCAGTAATGGCATGGTGTCCTCTACAGGACTTGCTGTCATTTTAGCAGTTTTTTCTGTTGGATTGGTTTGATCAACTCTTTTTTTATTTTATTTTTTGTTCTTTTGACGAGGACTTGCTGTGTTGTGCTATAGTTGAATGTTGAAAGAATTTTGATGCGTTGGAGTGAGTGATTTGGAATGGTGTTTGTCCATTTGCCTTGGATTAGTATTCCGTAAAAACTCATGTTGTTTCATGACATGTACTATTGAATTGAATTGAATTTGATTTTGGCTTTTCTTTGAGCTCTTATAAAAACTAGTGTCTCTGCATCGAAAATTGTAACTGTCAGGTGATATTTGGTATATGAGTTCTGTTTGTTACTGTGTAAACTTTAATTTTTATTTTGTTACAATACTTTTTCCTCACAAAAAATTTAAATTTCTAAAGTCATAATTAAGAATCATGGTTTGAACCTTGATTTAAAGTCATAGGCCGAACGAGCATTTTGTACCTCAAATCGAACAAAGCATATAAAGATTGACAATGGACTACTTACGGTGATTACCAATTTTCCTTTATTTGGACAAAAGTGTTTAGAATGAGAGTATTAAATGCTCGTTTAGTTCACTGATTCGAGTTTTTAATTCGAGTTGAAATGTGATTTTATGTGAGAACTTTATACTGTAGAAAAAAAGTTAGATGTGACTGTTTTTTAGAGCTTTTTACTGTAGTGATACTCGAATTTTAAATTCAAATCGGTAAAATAAAAGAAACATAATTCTTCATTATCCACAGTAATAAAATCATAGGAAACAAATAAATGAATATACATAATTTATAATGAATCACCCTTAATTTAAAAACAATGTCCACTTTTCGTTGCTGCATGATTTACTATGCTGAAGAAAAATACAAGTGAAAATCACATAATCTCATACTCTTTGTGAAGAAAATTTTTATGGTCCAATCATAATGTGGTTGGAAGAAGATCTCCGCCTTCTTCCAACCCCGATTGTACAACAAAAATTGTGTCACTATTATAATAAGGCTCCATACCTTAACCACAATCATAATAATCGAAACTTCAAAACATTATTGAAAAGAGAAACATCAATCTCTCACAATCCACCTTTGAAGTGCAACTATATTAGTGTCAGTTATTAAAAAATGAGAGGCAATATTTCTACTCCCGATAACATAATAAAAAAAAAAAAGAATTTTCTAGGGGAGCTGGTTAGATATAATTTTAGTTATTTATTCAATTTTGCTAAAAGAAAAAATAATAAACATAATTTAATTTTTTTATAAAGAGAATATACAAAATTAAGATCTTTATAAAATCAACTAAGTATAAAGCATCAACCAGCTATAAACCATATAAATTAAGTATAAAACATCAACCAACTATAAACCGTGTGACATAGAGGGTGAGTTATTTATTATTTTACATAAGCGTCAGTATTCTAACAAATCTATAAGACAATAAATTATGTGAATTCATTTTTTTTAAGTAAATGTGTACTCACTTATTATATTATTCAATAAAAAATATTTGGAGATTGTTTGATTTATGCCTTCAAAAATGTGTTGAATAACAAGTTATCACCGAATAAATCGTAAATCTTCTTTAACCAAATAAATAGATTTATTCATAAATCTTCCTTAACCACATCTTTATTCGTCAATCTTTCTTAACCAAATAAATCAAAACCCGCATAAATATGGTTACATCTAAAATTTGACAATGATACTATTTGTTGGGACCTTGGCGTTCCATTCTTAATAGGTTAATTTTTATTATGACCAGCACAAGCCATTTTTAACGTTTTATCCATGTGGGACTTTTATCCGTGCATTCCCTAACCCTAACTTCTTTTATATAACAATTCAAATTAAAGTCGTTAGTCTCCTAAATTGATTAGTTATGATGAGTGATGACAACCTAATTGGTTAAAAATTGCTCCACTTCAATCATAAATTGAAGGTTCGAGTCATCTTAAATTTTACTTAAAAGTGATGATATTCTCTCTTCCCTTATAAATATAAAAAGATTAATCATATGTAATAAGGTTTTTTTTGGCTTAGCAATTATTATTAATTTGTTGGTAGCAAATTATATTTTATTGTGGGCTATACAGATTATGTTTTATTCATTCATCTGTTATCTATTACTAGTAGTTAAAGAACACGTGTTATGCATGTGAGAAGTAATTGTGTGTTAAGTTTTAATTACTGTGTTATTATTAAAAGCATATAATAGCCCAAAAAGAAACTAAAATTTTAAAAATTAAGTTTTAGGGCAAGTAGTCAAAGAAAGATTAAAAAAAGGAATAAAATGAAAGAGAAAAAAATCTTAGAGAGTAAAAAAAAATGTAACGACGTTGTTATTGTTTATGCGTTTTTGACTAAGAAATACATGAACAGTTATAGAAGTACATGAACAGTAAATGAGTTTCTTAAGGTAAAAAGGAAAAAGAAGGAAAAATCAAAAGTAACAAAATAAATAAATACTGAAAATACTGTTTGTAAAGAGTAATTTTTAACAAAAACTACATCGTTTTGATTGACATTTTTATATATAGTTATAGATTATATAAATGGGAGTTCCCTTGAGTTACTATTCAAAAAAAGGGTCCTTTTTGTCCTTTCATTTTTCCTCTCATGCTTTATGTACTTTTCTATTTTATTTCTCTTTCCTTTTTTTTAGGGTGTATTTCTCGAGAAATAAAACTGTGAGATTCAAATTCTGACTTATTTCTCATTTATTTTTTTTCTTTTAGTAGATGTTTGGTTTATAAATTTAGAATTATGATTTAGAATTATTTTCATTTTACGTGTATATTTTATGAAAAAAATACTATAACGAGTCACAAAATATAATTCGAACAATAGTACGAATCTCCATTCTAAACGTACAAATTGTTTCTTTCTGCCCCTCTCTCTACATATCTTCCTTGTTTTATTTTTTGTTTTGTCATTATGTGGTTGTTTTTTCGCGTTTAGTATGTTTTTTTTCGTTTTCTCTTACTTTTTTAATCTTAAAGAAAATTATACGTATTTATAGACCCTATGAAGCTTCACTGTTCCCTGAGATTGGCTTTGGGCTTTTCCTGCGCAGCTTAGGTGGAAGGCGAAGAAGGCCTCCTTCCGGGTGTGATCAATGTGTGATATTCTGAATCCTCATTCCTAATGGAATCAAAATGATCTCTGGATCGATCAGAAGATCCTTTCAATTGGCTAAAATCCGTTACTTGAACGAAACTAGATCTTGTGGAATCATATTGAATATTTGACGATACATTCCGTACCTTGCTAAAAAACCGATCCTTGTTTTCCAACCACACATTGTCTAACCAAATCCAATTCTCTCTCGATATGTTCCTCAAAAAATCCGATTCGTGCGGATTCTTCCCCCAACTAAAGAAGAGCTTACCAGTCTTGATCGCTACAAAGGTCGATGCTACAACATCGAGCCCGTTGCTGGAGAAGAAAGTCAATTTATTGCTTATGTAGCTTACCCTTTAGACCTTTTTGAAGAAGGTTCTGTTACTAACATGTTTACTTCCATTGTGGGTAATGTATTTGGGTTCAAGGCCTGCGTTATATCACCCGATCTCGATTTTTCATATATAAATGTAACTAATGTATCTCCTTCGGAGAGTATTTCGCCATAATGTCCATGAACAGTTGCTCCTGGAGTGGCCAAATAAGACTTCGCCGATCTTATTACTACAGAGTCAATTTGAACAATTATAACTTGACCTGATTTTAGGTGTGGTCCATGTTTGGTTATACATACATTTTCGAAAAAAAACTGCCCAAGGCTATATATATACACATATGTAGAAAAGCTCATCGTTTTGGTCGAAAATCCTTAAGTTTTCTTTTTTGTCTTTTAGTCCCTCAATTTTCTTCTTTCATGCCCCTCCCTTTTTTTCAATCTTTTATTTTACTCTTTTTTTTTTTTTTACTTTTTTAGTAAACTATTTTTTTTTATGCTTTTTGACTTTTCTTTTCTTTCTTCCCTAATTTTTTTTTCTATCTTGGTTCTTTTTTAGATTTTATATTCAAATTTTATATGCTTTTAATTGTCTTATTTTCAAAACTTTGTTTTGAGACAAAACTTATTGTGACTTGCATTTCTCTCGTCTAACCTTATTAATTTTTTTAATTTGATTCTGTTAGCTAATTTTAAAATGCGACAAAAATGGTGACGTTTTGATCAATATCCTCCCCTCTCCCCGACTGCTTTCTTTTTCTTTTGTTTCTTTTTTACTTTTTAGTCTTTCTTTAGTTCCTTTTGTCTTCCCTCATTTTTTCCTTCTTCTTATGTTTCTTGCCCCTCCATTTTTTCCATTCCATTATTTTACTCTTTTTTTTTTTTTTTTTTACTTTTTGTCTAAAACTTATTTATTTTTTGTATTGGTCCTTTTTTAACTTTTTTTTCTTCCTTCCCTGATACTTTATTTATTTTTTCCATTTTGGTTTTCTTTTGGATTTTATATTTAAATTTTACGTGCTTTTAAATATTTATCATTTACAAAATTTTGTTTGGGACAAAATTTATCATGCCGTGCATTTCCCCGTCTATGTCTTATTTAATTTCTTTATTTTGATTATGTTGGAAGATTTTAAAATGCAATTTTTCCTGGACACAATTTCTTTAAAATTAATCTATGCTTAACTTTTTTTTGGCTTTTTTATTTTCGTTATGCCAAAAGATTCTCTACCATGTAAACCTTTTTTAATGTACTTTCTTTAAATAGTTTTTTCACCGATTGTTCTCATTGAAATATGTTTTTTTAGATATGTCCCTATTTAATTTTTTCCTATGTAATCCTTATTATTTTAATGGCAATATTTACAAATGTTTGTGTTAGTTGTGTGTGTATTAACTAACTAACTAACTAACTAAAAGATCTTTATTATTAAATGAATTATTTAATAATATTACTATAATGAAACAGTTTTAACACACAGAGGAGTTCAACTAGCGTAGATATAAAAGATTGTCACATTTGCCAGCATAGTACGGATTTGATGGACAAGCATTTCTTCCTAAAAGCTAAATCTTTATTTCAAATATTAGCCGACCGTTCGGTTCGCTAATTCGAGTTGAGATGTGATGTTGTATGAGAGCTTTTTACTGTAGCAAAAAAGTTAGATGTGACTGTTTCTGAGAGCTTTTTACTGTAGCAAAACTCGAATAAGCGAAATGAATGGGGCAACAAAGCAATCCCTTCTAAAAAAAGAAAAAAGAAAAAAAACTAACAAAGCAATTGGCTTCCGTAAAATAAAGAAAAGAAAAACAAAATGCAGCTAATTATCAAGGTAGCAGGGTTAGGGATTTAGCCAAACTTGCAAATCATGATCACACTCAATCTTAATTATTCTTGGTTAAAGTACTGGTGCATTTCGCAAAGCAAATAATGAGGTGCATCTTTTCTCACTAATTTATTTGGAAAATAAATCTTCCTTGCATATATCATAGAGTATAACACCCACCTGACAAATACATATGTTTTTCTTTCTTTCCTAAGCAATCTTCTTCTGTCACCTCTTACCATTTATCTTAGAGACGACAGATAAGTGTAACTAGACATTTTTAATTACTGATTAACAACAAGTGATCTCGTTTCACCTAAATTATATCCTCTCCGGCAGTACTTATAAAAACACATCTTTTACTCAAACACCAAGCATCAATCGAACATTAATCTTTGTTTCCCTATAGCAAAGCACAACAATACTAATATATACAAAAAAACTATAAGATGAAACAAGGTCTCATATCCGTCTCATTCCTACTTTTCCTCTTCTACCACTGCACTACCACTTTAGCTGCCGAGTCTCCGGTCCAAGCTCCCTCACAAAGCCAAGCAAAAGCTCCGGCAAAAGGGCCAACTTCAACGCATACTGCGGTCGAACCACCGTCCGAAGTACCGCTTGTTCAAGCCCCGCCACACAAAGCCCTGGCCGGACCAACCGATGTCTCCAAAGTCCTCGAAAAAGCAGGCGGCTTCAGCGTCTTCATCCGCCTCCTGAAGAGCACATCCGTTAGCATTCAGATTGAAAATCAGCTCAACGTCTCCAACACCTTGACCATCTTCGCCCCAACAAACGGCGCATTCTCCGCCCTCAAACCCGGCACTCTCAACTCCCTCTCGACCGAGCAAAAAGTCCAGCTCGTTCAATACCACATTCTCCCTTCATCCGTGTCGCTTCAAAATTTCCAAACTCTAAGCAACCCTGTGAGGACTCAAGCCAGCAATACCTATGACTTCCCACTTAACATTACAGTTGAAGGCAATTGGGTAAACATATCAACTGGAATAGTGAACACCACAATTTCTGCGACAGTTTACGAGGATAATCAGCTTGCCATTTACAAGGTTGATAAGGTTCTTCTTCCTCTTGGCATTTTCGCTCCGAGGCCAAAGCCATTGGTACCTGCACCAGCACCAGTCAAGCCTTCGAAGGAGTCGTCTTATTCGACATTGAACAGCCCGGTTGCTGCGTTGGATGCGTCTAGCGCGCTTAATCTAATGCCCGCGTTAGCAAGTTTTGGAGTTCTTATGGTTGCAACAAGTCTTTATCTGGTGTCGAGTTGAATTTCGCTTTCATGAACATAATGCGAGTGTCTTCCTGAATGATTTTTGTCAATGACGGTTGTTTGCTTTAGACATTTCTAGTACCATATTGATCGTTCCGTATGTAATGTGTTTGTTTGAATTGAATTGAAGATTCGTCGATTTGTTTGAAGTGTTTTCAAAATTCTCTATTTTTCTTTATACAGATCTTCTATATATTCTTTGTGTGATATTGACATCATTTGTACCAAATAAAGTAAGTGGTAGAACAAAGTACGGATCTTCTTAGGATAAAATGACGTTTCAGCAGCCTTAAAATGGTTATGTTATTATCAGTTTGTTTTCCGGGAATTGGATTACTGAAAGTTGTTTGTCAAACTACCCTTTCTTTGTGCTCTTGTTCTTTCTCTTTGTTCACCCAATACGACATCAATTTTTCCCAGGAAACTATGTTGTTGTGTGATATCACTTTCCGTATGTCATCGATCTGCATACGACATCTCTCGCACGAAACTATCTTGCATACGACTTCATTTTAATACGACAATGATTTTCATTTATATACGACTTTATTCTTTATTACTTCAATCGTTATACAACGATGAAATTTTATACGACATTGCTTTTCACACGACAAAGACTTTATCACACGACAATGTTTATGGTACAGCAATTGAGCCCCAATACGACATTGTTTCGAGTAAGACATCATTTCTCATTGTTGTTTCTCATCAGGAGAACGGTTTTTATTCCACACACGTTTTGTTTCGTCACACCACTGATTCATCATACGACAATGATTTCATTTTCTCGTATGACATATCTGCCATACAACATTTTTTTTTTTTTAAACTTAGGGATGGGTTGGTTTTTGAAATTTAAACTCTACACTTTACACGGAAGACTCAGATATAGAATTACTACTAGGTTATACCTGAACGGCTATGATAATTTTTTATTCACGCAATCACACAAATTTTATGAATTTTTTTATTTGTATGACACTGATTTTCTCAAATGAAATATTTTATGTACCACATCATTTTCCCCACGACAATTTCCGCTTACTGCAGCTTTTTTTTTTCTTTCTTTGAATCATTTACCTCTAAAATATTACCCAAAAAAAAAAAAAAAGATTTAATTAGTTGGAATTACAAAATATACATGCGAATATCCAAGATCAGGGTCAAAATATAAGATCTGTTGCACAATATGAAAAGGGCATAGTCCAAAAATAATTTCCGCGTATTCAGTGATGGTTAATATCAATTCAAAACTGATCAAATAACTAAGTCGAGTAAAATGTAATAGGAAGATTATGGTGAAAGAAATTCATAGGCATAGACGTCTGTTTTCTTGGCTGCAAAATGAGATATCATTGGTAAATAAGTTGTTTGTTAATGAAATGCTAAGGATTCTCTGTATTATCGATTGGTGGCTAGTGATCCACTTTTGAGCAAATTAGCCACAATTTGCAAGCCATCGGTATCAAATCTCAATCCTAATGCTGAACCATTTATGTCAAGCAATTAATGGACATCTTTCTTTGCTCTGTGAGGAAAATGATGCATTATCCAAATAAAACTCATGCACCAACACATGACGTTGTAACTACATTGGTTTCTCAACTAAAAAGTTGCGCACCTTTTCACCTAATAATTCTAAATCACTCGCTCCCAACACTATAAAAAACCCATCTTCTCCCCCAAATTCCAGCATCAAACACCACTTCAAAAACCAATCTAAATTTTAACACTACCATTCTTTTCAACACACTAGAAAAAAATAAAAAATAAAAAAAATAAAAATGGCCACCAAACAGGCTCTCATCTCTTCATTCCTTATTGCCCTCCTCCTCTGCCACAGCTCCGCCACAACTCTAAGCCAGTCTCCAGCCAAGGCCCCGCCTCAAGCACCGGCTGAAGCACCCGTCAAACCGGCTCATCCACCGTCATCCCCGGCAGCCACCGACAGTGCACCTCCATTGTCAGACGTGCCCATTGTTCAAGCGCCACCCCATAAAGGTCGCAGCAGGATCCCGACCGACGTCACACAAATCCTCGAGAAAGTCGGCGGCTTCAGCGTCTTCATCCGCCTCCTGAAGAGCACCGAAGTCCTTACTCAAGTTGAAAACCAGCTAAGCGCCTCCAACAGCTTAACAATTTTGGCGCCGACAAACGACGCGTTCGCGAGTACTCTCAAGCCCGGAACTCTCAACACTCTCACCGACCAACAAAAAATCCACCTCATGCAGTATCATGTTCTTCCCACTTTCATCTCTCTGGACAAATTCCAAACTATCAGCAACCCCGTCAGTACACAAGCCGCCAGTTCCTATGACTATCCCATGGACATTACCACCGAAGGAAACTGGGTGAACATATCGACCGGCATTGTCAACGCCTCCATTACTGCCACGGTTTTCGCAGATGATCAACTGGCGATTTACCGTGTCGACAAAGTGCTGCTTCCCCTAGGCGTTTTCGCTCCGAGACCGAAGCTGCCAGCTCCGGCACCATCACCGACAGCGAAGGCAAAGTCGTCTACTACCTCATCGTCATCGTCGACATTGGACAGCGCAGACGACGATACGAAAGCAGCATCCGGTGCATCTAGTGTTACCAGAACGTTGTCCACAGGAGTGTCTATTGGTCTTGCTATGGCTGTAGCAATTCTTGTGTTGGAGTGATTTTGATTAAGTCGCTTAATTTGGTTGAATGATTAGTATTGTTCATTGTGCTTGAGTTGGGGTTTTGAAGATATTACACGGTGGAGTTGTTTGGAATAATGATGCTTTGTTTTAGACTTAGTTTAGTATCTCTTGCATGTTGATTTGGCCATCGGTGCTAAAAGAAATTGTACTTTCTGAATTGAATTAATTGAATTGATTTTATTTTTTCTTAGATTTCAAGTAAAATCCAGCAGTACTATAGTACATATTCTTTGTAAAGTGGAATTAAGCAATAGAATGACTGCAATGATGCACTACTACAAATAAAATATGATGAATTTTTGGTATCAAATGTCACCAACATTTGCCAATGAAGTACAGAAATATAATAATAATAAAATAAAACGAAAAAAAAAAAAGAAAACGAAAACAAGAATGAAATGGTGAGATAGCAAAGTTCAAAATAATTAGTACGTCGCGTCTATTACATTTCCTATAGCCAAGATGAGTATATTTACGTGCCTTCCTTAACCTAACGAAGATGCTCTCTGCAGGATTTTACTTACCTAAAATGTCAATATATTAATTAGAATTACAAAATCAGACTTGCATAGTTTTCAATCACACATGTGTCCCCCTAGGACCCCTTCCTGAGTCCAAAAATAATATCCTGCAAATAATAATATTTTTTTAGGAAAATACTACAGTTTTTCCGCATAGAAACAATTCCCAAATGCGGCGTTTTGGAGGATGTTGACTTTGTTTATTATGTCCTAATCCTAATGAAATTAAAACAAGAAATGCTCATTATGTCCTAATCCTAATGTGATAAAAACAGGAAATGGGGCATTCTGAGAGTAGAACTCAGGACGTTTCCCACCCTAAGCGAGAATCATACCACTAGACCAAATGCCCATGTTCTTCTCTGAACTTCTTAATAACTGTAAAGTCAAAAAGGTGTTTGGAACCTTGTTACTTACTGCGTGGGCTTACAACTTTGTCCTATATGCAAATGAATAAGGAAAAAAAATACTATAAAAATATTATTTATGACACTCCATTCAAAACTAAACAATTGTCATACAATTAGGTACTCAATTATTTAGAATGACATAAATAATATGTCTGTGTAAAATCATGACAAACCATGTATATCTTTGTCAATGAATAATGCTAGAGATATCAACACCGACCCCAACTTTTTTGCATCAATTTACATGGCATGTAAGTTATTATCTTTTTATAAATAAAGTGATGTAGCTAGTTTTCATTTAATCTGTTGGTAAAATCAAATACTTTCCCACGTAATATGTATCTTTTAGAAGACTGCCCTGTGAAGTGATAATTGATAGGAGTAACCCACCTTATGCAATTACAACCATACACCATTACATACAGCAGTTCATCCATGAAGTTGAGACATCAGCTAAATCACAATAATTTTTGTTAAATCAAAATTTTTCCTCATGGAGTGAAAATTTGTAAACGAAAAAGATGAAAAAAGAGCTTGAGGGGCAACAAAATGAACAAAGAGCAATCTAAACCAAGCACCATACAAACAGCTATTTGGAAATTCCAAAATGGACTAGGTAAAACTTGCACATTACCTATCACTTTCTGTTGCATCGTGCCATCATTCCCAAGCAAATTAGATGTCAATCAAACAGCTAGCAGAGTCACTTTTATATCTTTTTTTCTATCTCGCTCTGTTCACTCCTTTACCTTCCAAAACAGTTCAGACGACAGATATAGCAACTGTATATAATTGTCACAACCATTAAATAGACCTTTTTCTCACACACCTAATCGATCATCTCCCATCACAAATCATACAATAAAACCCCTCTCCCCTTCCTCCAACACCATCATCAAACACTAGTTCAATAACCTATTCTTAACTAAAACCATTATCCTTTTCTGACAAGCGACAACCATATTACGAAACAGCACACTCAAAACAAGCACAAAAATGAAACAATCTCTCCTTTCCTTCACACTCCTATTCCTCTTCGTTAACCACAGTTCCGCGGCTTTAACTAAGTCGCCGGCTCAGGCCCCATTGCAAGACAAGCCGATTGTTCAAACCCCGGCCGAGGCGCCAACCAAACCGGCGGTTCAAGCTCAACCCCCGTCTCAATCATCCCCCGCTCAGGCCCCGGCCGGGGTTCCCCTGGTCCAAGCCCCGTCCGAAATTCCCCTAGTTCAAGCCCCGCCGCGGAAGGCCAAACCAGCCCCCACCAACGTCACCAAAATCCTAGAAAAAGCCGGCAACTTCGGCGTCTTCATCCGAATCCTCAAAAACACACAAGTTATCAACCAAATTGAAAATCAGCTCAACACCTCCAACTCCTTAACCATTTTGGCTCCCACCAACGGCGCCTTCTCGGGTCTCAAAGCCGGAACTCTCAATTCTCTCACCACAGAACAAAAAGTCCAGCTTGTTCAGTACCATATTCTTCCTTCTTTTATATCACTCTCAAACTTCCAAACTCTCAGCAATCCTGTCCGTACACAAGCTAGTAACACTGAGGAGTACCCTCTTAACATCACAACGGAAGGAAATTGGGTGAACATATCGACCGGTCTTGTGAACACTTATATTTCCGGGACAGTGTATGCGGACAATCAGCTAGCTATCTATAAGGTGGATAGGGTGTTGCTTCCTCTTGCGATTTTTGCTCCGAAGCCTAAGGCTCTGGCACCGGCGCCGGCACCGGCACTGGCCAAGCCTAATCCAGACTCGTCCTCATCCTCGTCATCGTCTTCTTCATCGTCGTCTTCTTCCTCGTCAGGTGATAACCCTACTGGCGCCGTGTTGGAGTCATCTTATGGTCTTAGAGTAGCCAAAAATGGGGTGGTGACCGTTGGAGTTGTGGTTGCAACAATTTTTTTGTGAGGTCAATTGATTTGAATTTGCTACATATGTGGTGAATGGGACACTGTTATGCTGAGTTTTGGTTTGTGAGGAAATGATGGATTACGGTGATTGGGTTTTGAATAACGCTTGATTGTTTTATAGTATATTTGCTCACATGTAGTAGATCGCCGTGTGTGATGGGCACTTGTACTATTTGAATTTATTTAATTTATTCGATATTATTTTCCTTAGTGATTTATCATAATAATGATGCAGCGTTACAGATCATTACCATGGTATAATCCTAGAGATGCATGAATAAATGCTAAGTTTAACAATGTTTCTACTAAAAATATTTAATGGGTAGAAAGAAAAATTACTACAAAAAGGGGTGTTCGAAGGGTTCATCTGTAAACAATTCTTTTTCATGATGAATTTTTCATTCCACGACGAACTTTTCATTGAAATCATATTAAAAAAAATAAGTCTCAAAATTTTTTTATACATTTCTCTTATAGATTCTACATTTTTAAGTACCCGACCATTTTTAAAAACTCTACATCTGAACTAATTCTAATTTAAAAGGTAGAAATATAGAGGCCAATGCTAAGAGGTAGAATTATAATAGAGCTCCATTTTAAGCGGTATTTTTAAAAATTACCTTTTCTCGTAGAAATTAAAAAAAAATGTTATTGAGATTCTTGATGAATTGTTTTATCGGAATCATTTTCACTAAATTTTATGGGTGCTGAAAATTCGTGCCCATAATTTTGTTTGGTGCGAATTTTTTTAATTATAATTGGCTAAAAATGAATGGTATTACATACATCATGAAAACAATATACTCAAGACTACTAAAACTAGATAAATTAATTTTACAAAAGTTCTTTACACAAAGCAAAAAGAAATTATTTGGCTCTTAGTATTTTTTTTTTGTCAAAAGTACAGAGTACACCGGAGGAACTTTCTTTTTTTCTTTTAAAAAAGCCCCTAAATTATCATTGACAATTTCGTATGCAAACTCTCTCGGATGGAAAAAACTTATGCAAACTTTGACGATGCTAAGACAGATCAGCTTCACAGTTCTTCGATGATAATATAGTACTCTTGGTATCACGTATCATTTATATTTACAACTTCTGTTGATTAAATACCATTCGCATGCAACACTCACATTATAGCAGTTGAAAACTCGACAAATTTTGGTATATTATCAGTATCTGTAATATTTGAAATATTTGAGGCGTTAGCCTAGTCACATTAGCTTCATTTACCGTGATGGTTAACTTTGAGGTAGTTATGTAAGTCATGATAAATATTCACAAGAATGTGATAAAAAAAGCGTGAGGGATTATTGAAATATAAAAGAGACCATGATGCAAGTAAATTTTAATAGGTGGTGTCATGGGAATATAAAAAAAGTAAGCATGAGGTGTTAAAATGGTAATTAGTGAGCAAGAAGGTTATAATATCATTCCACGTATCCTAATAATTAGTGCCTGAAAATAATCAAGTGGAATGCTAGAGTATGCCACCCAAGTTTTTACCGCCAACATATGTCTTATCCCTAAGTGTAAATATTAGGTGATTGCTATGTTTTATGACAACTATAGCCTATATTACAATAAGAAATCCGTCTGAAGTGAAATAGAAAAAGGAAGAAAAGTAGCGAATTCAACAAAAAGAAAAGGAGGACCAAGAAAAAAGAGATTGAGAAAGACAAATAGAGCCTATTATTTTAGAGCAAATAGTTTGTAAGTAGACCTTACACTGCAGCGTTGTTTTTAATGAAAGTTTTCAGTTTATATATATTAATGTTGATTTGATTTTTATGAGATTTTGAAAGTATTTTCTAGGTATGATGTGAAATCTTGTGCTTATTTCGAACTAACGAGAAAGTGATAATGGCCAAATCTTTGAGGAATAATAATAGATTCCAAGATAGAAACCACATGAAAGAGGTTCTAATAACACCAATCAAGATTTAACATTATACAAGAAAGCCCTAGAGTTAAAGAGATGTATTTTGAAAGTGAAAATTATTTATGATCTACTTACTGAGCTCGCGCTCATATAGTTCTTGTGATGTAGGTAAGCTAAGACTAATATGAAATAGAAGTTCTAGATGACTGAGCAAAAATAATCCAAAGTCGCATGACGAGTTTAGAGATATTAAGATTTGAAATTTATAACCCTAAGCATTTTATTCGAGGATTATATTTGTGATAAATATTATTTATCCATGATGCAATATTATTTATTCTAGTTAAGTTAATGTTTCCATGGCAAAGTTTTAAAAATACTAATTTGGGAAGGGCATTACAATATTAATTTGAAGGGAGAATAATATTTTTAGCAGCCAATTTCTTTATTAAATTTTGATCGAATATCAATGTGTAGTCGTAAGCTTGAGATACAACACTTTTTATTAAATGTAGTTCTTTATCATATAGTATACTTCAATGAGTCAAAATATTTGTAATTAATTAAATATTGTTTTTGTTAAAAGTCCATATTTTATTAAAGTTTAGCTCATAAATTTGGCCAAATCGCTCTCGATTGATGCATGTTTTTCCTAGGTAATCTGTCAAGCCACAACAATATTGTCCTACCTACGCCAATCCAAATGATAAGTTCTTTAGATGACATGTGATCTGTATCATCTCTTTTGGAAAACAAATAATGTACACACCACACCATTGTAATCTATAACTCAGTGAAAAGTACGTAAATCTTGTCCGTCGTTTTAGCTCACAGGCCAAAGTCCCACACCCACACCCACCTGAAAAAATTGCTCCTTTCGTTTAGTTTCCTACTTCCCAAGCAAACTAGCTAACTAGTACCACTTCAACAGCTAAGAAGAAAATCTCCACTGTGTGTACTCTCCACCTTGCAAACAAAGACAGACTACACATAACCCAAAATAATAATAATAATAATAATAATAAAGTGATAACTTTATTTTCCCATCCTTCCACCACTATATAAGAACTCTTTCTCCTCCCAACACCATCCATCAAAACTCAATCTTGCAATCTCATTCTTTACTAGCAAAGCACAACTTTTAATTAGCTAGCTAGCCATATATCAATAACACTCAAAAAAAGAAAAAAAAAATGATGAAACAAAGTCTTATCTGCCTCTCCTTCCTATTCCTCTTCTTCCACCATTCCACCGCTGCCACCTTAGCCGCCCACTCCCCAGCCAAAGCTCCATCCAAAGCCAAAACCGAAGCCGAAGCCCCGGTTACTCCTATTACTAAAGCCGAACCCCCGGCTGCCAAAGCCGAAACTCCCGCTAAGGCGCCAACGTCAACTCCGGCAGTCGAGCCCCCATCCGAAGTACCCCTTATTCAAGCCCCGCCACACAAAGCCCTCGCTGGCCCAACTGATGTCTCCAAAGTCCTCGAAAAAGCCGGCAGCTTCAGCGTCTTCATCCGTCTCCTAAAGAGCACATCCGTTAGCATTCAGATCGAAAATCAGCTCAACGTCTCCAACACCTTGACCATTTTCGCCCCGACAAACGGCGCTTTCTCCGCTCTCAAGCCCGGCACTCTCAACTCCCTCTCCACCGAGCAAAAAGTTCAGCTGGTGCAGTACCACATCCTCCCAACTCTCGTGTCGCTTCAAAACTTCCAAACTTTAAGCAACCCTGTGAGGACTCAAGCCAGCAACACCTTTGACTACCCACTCAACATTACAGTCGAAGGGAATTATGTCAACATCTCGACCGGAATCGTGAACACCACGATTGCCGGGACGGTTTATGAGGACAGTCAGCTGGCTATTTACAAGGTTGATAAAGTTCTTCTTCCTCTCGGCATTTTCGCACCCAGACCAAAGCCATTAGCGCCTGCACCAACGCCACTGCTGAAGCCCAAGAAGGAGACAAATTCTTCTTCTTCTTCTTCGTCTTCATCGGAGGAGGATTCGGACAGCCCGGTCGCGGCGGCGGTGCATGCGTCGGACGCCCTTGGTCTGAACAAAAATGGAATTGCCAACATTGGAGTTGCCGTTGTTACCGTGATTTCTATGTGGGTTCAGTTTTAATTATTTTCTTGTGTTTGTGGTGATCACTCCTGGTGCAGTAATGATGGAGGACTTGGATCAATAACGGACTTGTTGTAGTAGTATAGTTTATGTGGGTTTGTGATGAGCTTTTCTGCATTGTTTGAATTGAATTAATATGATGATTTCGTTGTATTCTTTTTCTTTTTAATTAATTTGAGACCGATCGTATTCCTATCTCAGTGATTTGTCCGCAATTGGAAATTAATTTAAACGTGCATGTCCCTCGCTGTATTCTATTGTAGCATGTACGTACTGCTACGAACAGTACGCTTATAACTCATTGATTAACGTAGAAATGCAAGCATATGTGAATATGCAAATCGAGATCTGATAGAAGTATTGGACAATTTCCGCTGATCAAGGGAAGAATCATAATTTTGCCGTTACATATTCAAGAGTAACGTTTGTGGATTGTTAGCGTGACAGAGTTAAGGTATGGACCGATCTTATGTTGGGGGCGCCTATAATGATAGACCACATATAACTGAGCATTTAATTTTTGAAATTTTAAAATCTAAACCTAAACTTCCAAAAACTTTTCAATTTTGTACCCCATATTATGAAAAATATTCTACTCGTGCTCCTATTAATACTTGAAACTTGTGACTATATATCTATCTGAACAATTATCTTTTATTATTTTTCACAGTATCTCCATTAAAAAAAAATGACCACTAGACATTCGATTTTAGGGTTGTGATAGGTTAGAGAGAGAAAAAAAAATACGGAGCACATTAAATGTGTGCGATTTTATTCTAATCTTTTTTTTTTCATCATAGTAAAAATTCTACAATAATTGAAAGTGAACAAAGAAAAGGGTGAGAATTATTATAAATCTTATATGTGCTTTATTTGTTTTGTTTTGTTTTTTTGTTTTTGTTTTTGTTTTTTGCATTTTATTACTCTTGATAGAAAAGCATTAGAGTGTCCAATATTGATTCTTACGGCTAACATCTACAACCCTATAAGGATATTTGTTATACTGTTTGGCATATGGAAATCAACCAATTTAACAAAGCATTATTACACATCCATGATCTGCATTTGCCATAAAAAAGTTACTAATTTCCGAGAGACTCCATCATTAATATTTAGAGTCCATTTGGTAAACTAGTTCAAGTGGTTTGAACTATAGAGTTGGTTCAAATGATTAAGTGTATCGCAAAAGTTTTTAAGTTTCATTTCAAACCATTAATTTGATGTTTTAAACCAAAAACTCCTCATAATCTGAGTTCCTTATAATCATTATACCCTGCACTAAATTAAAGAAAATTAGAATTACTACTTTCATAAATGGAGATCATCATAATTTTAACTATTATTGTATTTTCGAAAATATGAGATGCTAAATGACCATTTGTTAATTTGCAATTCCCAAAATTTTCACTTAATTGCACTTTGACATCCAACAATAGACTTCTCGTCTCATATAAGAAATTGCATACACAAAATGAAATGAAATTAAAAACTTTGTTTGATACTACATTAATGCAGGTGAAACGAACTTTTTGATCACGTCTCTTTCCAAGGAGAGAAATCAATTTATTGGTAGAGAAGATAGCTCAATCTATGGCGATCGAGTTATGTGTAACTAGGTTTCCCTCATGTGAAATAATAATTCGAAAAGCAAAATTGTGAAATCTACATTTCATCTTATAGGGTATAACTAAAGTAGTCAACCTCAACCCTTTTTCTATCGATTGATGGGGCAGCGATCCAACTAAGCAATCATCACTAAGATTTTGCAATATCAATGGGTTTTGGGCCATAGGCCATAATTTGTAAACTATCCACATCAATCTATATCTTTTGCTCTAGCATTTGTGTCAAGGAAATCATGCATATCTTTCTTAATTTTCCTATGAAAACTACGAAACACCGAAATAAATTAATGCATGTCAAGCATCACTTTAATTAACAAAGTATGTTGCATCACTTTAATTAACAAAGTATGTTGCACTATTTCACCCAATTCATCATTTCTAGTAGCGCCTATAAAACCCCTCTCCCTCCAACGGCATTCATCAAACACTCAGCACAAAACACCCATTTCCCCCACAAAGCAATTCACTCCTTATACAGTTCAACACTCGACCAAAAAAAAACAAAACAAAACAAAAGAAAAATGAAGAAACAAGTTCTCATCTCCTCCTTCTTAATCATGTTCCTCTTCACCACAACCTCAGGCCAGTCTCCGGCCCAATCTCCATCGCAGAACCCGGTGGTGAAGCCTGCTCCTCAAACCCCGGCTCAAGCTCCAGCTGCCAAACCAGCCCTAGTCCAACCCCCAACCCCTCCTGTCCTCCCTGCCCCCACCCTAGCCCCGTCTGCAGAGCCCCTCGTCCATTCCCCGCCGCGCAAGGCCCCAAAGCCAGCTCCCCCCAATGTCACCGATATCCTCGACAAGGCCAGCGGCTTCAGCGTCTTCATCCGCCTCCTCCACAACACCGACGTCATCAACCAAATCGAGAACCAGCTCAACTCCTCCAACAGCATGACCATCCTGGCCCCGACCAACGGCGGATTCTCAAGTCTGAAAGGAGGCATTCTCAACTCCCTCACTCCCGAGCAGAAAGTCCAGCTCCTGCAATTCCACATCCTCCCGTCGTTCCTGTCGCTCCAAAACTTCGAAACCGTAACCAACCCGGTGCGTACTCAGGCGAGTAACACCGAAGATTACCCCATGAACATCACCACCGAAGGCAGCTTCGTCAACATATCCACCGGCATCGTCAACACCACGATCTCCGGCACAGTGTACGCCGATAACCAGCTGGCGATTTACCGAGTCGACAGCGTGCTTCTACCTATGGGAATTTTCGCTCCGAAAGTTGATTCTCCATCGCCATCACCGTCGCCTGATCCGGCACCTGTTCCGGCGCCAGTGAAGCCTAAGAAGGAGGCATCAGCTTCCGCTTCAGCATCCGCATCTTCGCCATCGAACTCATCGTCGTCGGCGTTGAAACCATCGCCAAAGACGAATTCTTCATCGGCGTCGGCTTTGATCAGCCCAGTTGCGGCGTTGGATGAGTCCGGTGCAGCTGGTCATGTGAGGTCTGTTGGCATTGCTTTCGGAGTTATTCTGTTGGGTCAATTTCTTTGAGTGGAGTAAGGTGTTTTGTGCCCTAGTGCTTTGATTGAAGGGAATCGATCGATCACGATGAGTGGTCTGGAATAATGTGCTGGTTATTTATGTTAGAGTAGCTAAGAATATATGTCTTTTATACGTCTGATGATGATCAGTTTGGTGATGAGAATTTGTACCCGCGTGTGGATTGAATTAATTTGATATTCTTTCTTTCTTTAAGATCTCTAATAAACTAAATGGCATATTAGTATCACTGCAATTGGAAATAAATCATGTCTTGTTAAGCATTAATTGTAGTGATGAATAAAGAACTTCAAGAGGGGTTAACCGGAAAACAAAAAAAAAAAAAAAAAAAAAAAAAAAAAAAAAAAAAAACAACAACTCCTCGGAAATTATGGGTAATGGCGCCAATGGGATATTATAAAGATAAATAAACAACTCTTTTATTGTTTATTATTAATTTTTCCTTTAAACACCTCATTTGGTAATTTTTTTATTTTGGTATAAATTTTTACTTGCGAGTATCCGTACCCTTTATTACTTATCTATTCTATTTATAGTAGAGAAGATTCATTAGGTTAAATTCCATAACTTTCTAATAAGTTTATACTATTACTGTAAAAATTTTATGCTATATTCATTTAAAAAAAAATGAAAAATAGCTATGTTTATTTATCTTTAAAAATTAAAACATTGTTGGGATGTCGTACATGTTCACGTCTAACTTAATTGTAAGTTTATATTTTAGCATATTTATTTGTTTATTTTTGTAGAGAAACAATAAAAAAAATAACGTTATTTATCACTTTCAGAAAAAATTATTTACCATATTTAATAAATTTTCATTAATTATTAAAAAAAACATGTAAATTGCAAAGAACAAGAAACTGTGACTAACGGGGATGTGTCTTAGCCTCTTAGGCACGTTCATCATGCTAGTATGTATAAAAAAGTGGAAACGTGAGGAATGTTACCGCTCAAAAATTAAGAGCGCGTTTAGAACTCGTTTTAAAATGATTTTATTTTTTGTATGAAAATAAAAATGCAAACGTTTTTAATCTCAGACAAAAATCATTTTTGAAAATACGTTTAGTAGTTTTATCAAGAGATTATTTTCAGTGTAAAAAAAACCCATTAATACCTCTCTTTTTCTCTCTCTGCTTGAGAGAGGAGAAAATGAAAACAAAAAATAAAAAACAACTAAAAGTCATTTTTTATTTCTCTCTCATTTTACACTAAACCAAAAAATTGTTTTTATTTCTATTTTTTGTCTTTATTGCACCAAACACCGTTTTGAAAATATTTTCATTTTTTCTTTCTCAAAAAATGTAAAAAATAAATACGGGATCAATTCAAAACACGGCCTAAATCTTCAGAGTTTTTCCCCTTGATATATGAGTATCCCTTTAATAAACCAGTCAAAGATCAACATGGTATGTTTACAAAAGCTACCCCGTTGGTAGAGTTTTTACGAATCGGATTACGCAGATTAGGAGTCAATCTGCAATCCAATTCATTATTGTAGATTGGAAAAATCTTAATCCGTTACTAATTCCCGAGACCACAATCCAATCCAATCCAATTCAATATGAAAACAAAATGATTTTGTGTTATTAGATTATAGGATAGTTTAAAAAAAAAGAAAAACTAACACTGATCGTCTTGCGACCGACAAACCAACCGCGAAAAATTGAAAATTTCAATTTTTAGGCAAAACTGACCTGATTGATAAGTTAACTGAATCATTCTGTTCTCAATTTAGGTGGTGGAGGTGGTCGGTTAACCGAACCGACGACCAACACCACTTACACTTATTAAAAAAAAATGGTGCATACCTAACCTATGGGATCAAATTCAACCACATTCCCACGCGTCTTTGTTGGTGTAAAAAATGAGTTTGGAGTAGTGCTAGAATTTTGGACGGGCCGCCCACGACCGCCCAAAAAAATTAAACTTGGGCCCGGTACCCGAACCCGCTTGCTTGAGAAATTCAGGCCCGAGATTTGCCTAGGACAGGCCGCGGGCCATGTCTTGGCTGGCCGAGCCCACCCGAAAATTAAATAAATTTATATATTTATATAATTTTTAGTTTTATATAATATTGTGTATATATATTATATATGATATTGTTTATTAATTGTATTTGTACATAAATAATTATTAAGTTATTTACTATAAAAATTATATAAAAACTATGATTAACATTAAAATCAACAAACACTATTAAAACAATTCAAAGAATTAGTTTTGTTTATTAATTTTTAAATTTGTACTAAATCAAATACTTCACTTGGGCAGGTAGTCGGGCGGGACACTCGGGCATTGGGCTTGCAACGGCGGCATGCTTCTTTTTTTGGTTGATTTTAAGGCTGTCTGAGCCTGAGCCCGGCCTAAAACTTAGACGGACAGACATAAAATCCTACCCACCGAGCCTAAAGATTTTTGAGCAGGTTCGCCACCCGTAGTTCCAGCAGTAGTCCGGAGTATCTTTAATATTTTGTTTGCGGTTTTTTAAAAATTTAAAAGTTGAAAAGCCTCATTGAAGTCTGATGAGGCCATTAAATGTTTACAGACTGCCTTTTGCCACCAAGCTGCACGTGTTGCTGGCCATTACGAGTTTAAAACTATTTATTACACTATTACGTTTGTTAAAGCTTTATAAAGCCAAACATACAAAGTCTCACGTTGAAAAAAAAAAATTAGAATGTGTACTCTGAATGACTCTATAAAAAGACTGGCTTTCATTTCAATTTTGCCCCTCGTTCTCTAATATTTAGTTTTGAATATCCATTATAAATGGAATTCAATAAAAATATTAGTTTTAATTTTTAATTTTAACTATCACATGGTTAAAATTAAAAGAGAACACATAGTCAAACTTTTTTTTCCCATGTAAATGGTAGAAAAAGCTATAGTTTAAACTTTTGTTCAAAAGTTAGTTTTTACCGAAAACCAACTGTCGGAAAACTGATCACAACGGTCAGAAACCGACCGCCCCTTCACTTGTGACTTGTGGCGGTAGGTTGTCAGTTTTAGTTTTCAAAAATTGATGTGGTCGGTTTGGTTTCAAAACCGACTGAAAAAATCAGTTTTCAACCGATGTTCACCCCTATTGGATTATGCAGATTCACAGATTGGCATACGTTTTGGATCTCGACTCTTGTAGCCCCCTCTCTTCAATATTCTCATAAAATTAATCATAAAATTAAACATAAATATAACATAACATAAATTTAAAATAGTTCCGCAAATCCCAACTCATCACACCACAAGATCTAACATGAAATTCAAGTTTTTAACACAAAATTCAAGGTCTTGGATTGGATTTCCATAGAAGACTAAGTCTTTTCCATAATATACACTTAAATTTATATATATATATATATACATGTACGTATCATATTATTGAAAAAAAAATATGTTATATATGTTATTAAAAAATATATAAAAAATATAATATATATAGTGTTCGGATTGGTGAATTATGCAGATTGAGAACTCAATTGCAATCCAATTTGAATTTGCAGATTGGAATATCTCAATTCATTACCAATTTAAAATTCTTTCCATTCAGTTCAATCTACCGAAATTGATTGGATTATACGGATTAGACAAATTAATAGATTTGATGAACACCCCCCCTCGTTGGTCAAAAGGTGATCTATAAGATTATGACTAATAATCTACTAAATGTCACCAGAAAATAATCTCCGATCACTGACGTTAGCCACCAGAGAGGAATCTGATAGATTATTTTTTATTTTCAACTAATAAATAATTCTTCATCTCCAATCTATAACGCTTGATCGCTAGACCGGAAATTGATAGGTTATTTCTTGTAATCTACCAAATTATTTATTATTTTTAACTAGAAATAACCGACCATATCAATCTCTTACACCAATCGATGCATGAGAGTAATCCGATAAATTATTTTTTATAATCTATTATATTAATCCCAAATTGTCTTACAAATTTTTAAAAAAAAATTTACATCATCATTTGTTAAAAAAAAAAAAAACGCATCAATATAATCACAACAAAAAATCATTAAAAAAAAGAAATACCATATATATTAAAAAAATACATAAAAACTTTATATTGAACACTAGATCGAGAATTCTATAAAAAATACATATTTTAGAAATATCATATTACAAAAATACGACATTCCAAAAGCCATAAATTCTCTTTCTTTCTTCAACTTCTTCAACCCTTCAATGCTTTGTAAGTGACTTTTCAAAACATTAGATCTATCCCCTCTGGAGAAGATAGCTCGATGTTGTCAGGTAGGGTTTCTTGTTTTAGGATATGTTCGTTGTTTTAGAATATGTCAACTGAGTTATCCAAGTAATTTTCATAGCTGGTGAAAATAAGTATGTTGCTTAAAGGACATTAATCATAAGTATGTTGCTTAAAGGACATTAATCATGGACTAAGAATAAAAACCAAGAACAAAGCACATAAAGGATTAGTTGTGCAATTTTTTCTTCCCTAACTACTTACAAACTCTGAACTAAATTTAATTAGAGTCAAACTAATTTTGAAGTACTTCTAACTAAAACGAGGTGAAACAACAGTTTCTAGACTCCTCATATAGCTTCTAGGCCCCCTCTCTTTTACTTTCTAACCGATGTTGGATAAAGATACCTTACTTATTTTGCCAAAATCCCAACAATATATTATTGCATTGGCCTTGATCACGCTACGACTCAGTACAATAAGCGGTAAACAGTCAATTTATATATCAATTTATGATGTTTGGTTCGTTATTAAGTTAAACTAGTGATGGTCATCTTTCTTTAGAAAAATAAAATAGTGATGACTATATTTTGAGCTCGTTCGTTTCACAAATTCGAGTTTTCAATTTTAATTTTGTTACAGTTAAAAGTTATCACAAAAAGTTACATCTAACTTTTTCTGCTACAGTGAAAAGTTCTCACAAAAAATCACATCTCAACTCGAATCCGCAAACTAAACGAGACATTTATAATATGTTTTGGAATATTAAAGTAATATGTTCAAAAGTTAAAACACGAAATTTACCTAGCATCAAACAAGAAAATTAAGATTGCCCCCCTATCCTGTCAATTGATTGATGTGAGTGGACCCACCTTTGCAATCATCTCTGAGAGGGAGGAATCCCTAACCCGTTAGCAAGTTCGACGAACAACAAATTATAAAGAAGAAAACAAGAACATATATACCTCTCACAATTTTTCTTTTTAAATGAAAATATAGCTCCCAACTTGTCATGAAATCAGCATCAATCCAAATCTTGGGATCTGCTATTTGTGTCGAGCAAATAATATCAACCTATCATTTTCCTTCTCACCATAAGCTTATTATATGTTAGCGAGAATAATGCATCAAACACAGAGATATGGCAACTAGCCAACCAACACCTAATAATATGAACATAATTGAAATTTTCACCTTTAATTATATTCTCTTTCCATTGGCACCAACTATAAAACCCCCTCACTCCCTCCAAGATCATGCATCGATCAAACACTTAGCAAAAAACAAACTCTTCTTTTGAAGCCTACTACCCTTCTTTTCTGGCAAAACACCATCTTCACCGACACACTCAAAACCATGACATCAAAAAACGCTTTCATCTCCTTCTCCTTCCTAATCATCTTCATAATTAGCTACCACTTCAGCACAACCGTAGCTCAATCTCCGGCCCAAGCCCCGTCTCAGGATCACCCGCCCTCTCAAACAACTACATCCCCGGCTCAAGCGCCAACAACCGTCCCACTGGTCCAAGCCCCGCCGGCCAAAGCTCAGAGACGCACCGGACCCACCAACGCCACCGAAATCCTCGAAAAAGCGGGCGGATTCAGCGTCTTCATCCGCCTCCTTCGAAGCACCGACGTCATTACACAGATCGAAAACAACCTCAACGCCTCCAACAGTGTCACCATCTTGGCCCCGACCAACGGCGGATTTTCGGCACTCAAGCCGGGAACTCTCAACACCCTCAGTCCCCAACAAAAGACTCAACTCATTGGCTACCACGTCCTTCCCACCTTCATTGCGCTCCAAAACTTCCAAACCCTAACGAATCCAATCCACACTCAAGCCAGCAACACCCGTGGCTTCCAACTCAACATCACCACCGATGGGTCCTCGGTCAACATATCAACCGGCGTCATCAACACCACCATTTCCGGGACGGTTTATAGCGATAATCAGCTGGCTATTTACCGTGTCGACAGCGTTCTACTCCCGAAAGCCATTTTTGCTTCAAAGGAGAGTTCGCCGGCGCCTGCTCCGGGGCCGGTAGCAGTGAAGCCTAAGAAGGAGTCTTCATCGTCATCATCTTCTTCTTCGACAACATCAGCATCAAGTAGTGGATCACCATCGTCGTCATCGTCATCAAAACCTTCATCAGGGTCGGCAGCGGCGGCGGCGGCGGCGGCAGCGGAACCAGAAGGGCAAGTTGCCGAATCGGATACTTCTGGTGTCTTTAAGACTACCGGAAATAGCGTGATGTCTGTTGGACTTGCTCTGGTTACTGCAGTCTTCATGTTGAGTCGGTTTAATCAATTTGCTTGAGCTGAATATCAATGATGCTGTGATCGGATCAATTGGATTGGAAGGCATTCTTGTGATCGAAGTGATTTGTTTTTGTTTGTTTTGTTTTTTTGTTTTTAATAATGACTGTTTGTGTAAGAATCTGTATTATTGTGTGAATTTAATTAATTAAATTACCTTTTGTTCTCTGATAAGTGAAATATACAAATTATATACGACCAGAATTACAAATTCATGTAGTATATCCAGAATTTTTTAAAAAAAAAAAAAGTCCATGGTACACACGTGATCACCTTTCTGTTCTGAGAACAAAGCATAACGCTACTAAATAATAGTATTTAAAATACACTTTGCAAATTTATCCCAAAAAAAATACACTTTGCCAAATACAAATAATAATAACAATAATGTATGATAATAGAACTAATTTCTTATTTAAAAATACAATATAATTAAAGATAATTGTTGAATGCTATATTATACTCTTGCGCACAGCACGAGCAATTCAACATGGAGAATTGCGGTGGAGAGACACAAAAGTTTGATTGAAACAGGTTATATATTAGAGAGGCTGGCTATTTCCCATAAAGGGCGCAGATCATGTAGACTTGCTTCTGTCTTGCTGCTCCATTTTTCCAAGATTTAAAAGTTTATTGGAGGGCTTATTTTGGGTCAAAAATCCTGCAAGAGAAGGTTTGAGTTCGAAATACTTGAATCGTGCTGACTTCTTGGGTATGTGAGGGTTTTTATTAACTTCTGGCTAATTAGAGGACGGCTCTAGAATTGGGAGAAATTATTCCCACACGATCCAAGTACTCATGGTTACCCATTACACTGTCCAATTTAAAGTTAGGATTATCTCACAATTAGTTCTTGAGATTTTACCTCGAATCTCATTTTAATTCTTGACTTTTAAAACATCCTACAGTTGGTCTTTGAGATTTTATTATGTTTCAGTATCAGTCATTCTGTTCACTAAGTATTAAATATTTGATGGAATATGCATCAATTAGTTATTAAACTTAAAAATAATTAAAATTTAGGAACTATCTATAGAAATTAGTTTTTGCTTTTTGTATTTTTTAATCCTTAAACTTTACACATTTTTAATTTTGACCCACAATTTTCATAAATTTTGTCAAATATTTAACACCTAGTTAACAAATGAGCAAATCTGAAACAAAATAAAATCTTAAGGACCAATTTTAAGGCGTTTTAAAAATCAGTGACCAAAGTGAGATTAAGAGTAAACCTCAGAGACCATATATGGGATTAACTCTTAAACTTAATATTCAAAACATTTATACCATATAAAAATTATGGAGAATTTTAAAATTTTTATTAATAAAATAACATTATTGTATTTATGCTACTGTTATTAAATTTTTCTTACGTCACTAATAACCTGTAGGTTATCTTTATAAAACCTACAAATTATCTTTTGCAACTTGCAGATTATTTTTCGTAACCTGCAAGTTATTTTCGTAGTGACATCAAAATTTTATATAGTCATAAATAATAGAGTTGGAAAAAGTAATGATTAAACTTGAAATTTCCTCAAAAATTAATGTAGTTAAAATCACCACAAAAGGTACTCTACCTAAATGTCTTATCTTATTTAATTTCTAAACTATCAGTGTTAAATGTCTTAAATTACAGTTAAACCTATTTAAATTTATACCCTTAAGGCCATATCTATTAATTAATCGAGATATAAATTAATTCAGATAAATTAAAGCCTTGGGACTAAGTCAGGATCGACCAAAATATTATTTAATCAAAGTTATTAATTTATCGAGTATTAATTTTTAGGTTATTAATTTATCAAGTATATTTATACTTGTTGGAAGATATTATTGAAATATTTGATAACTTGTTGGAAGATATTATTGAAATATTTAAGCCACGTACAGTTCCACACCCGCATGAAAGCTGCTCTCTTAATAGATATGATAAGAACACTTCCTCTCTCTCATAACAAGTAGACACAATTTCTCTCCCTTTCACCTTTATCCCAAACAAAGACGACAGACATATTTTAACTACGATGCTTTTCATCCATAACTAAATATGATATTTCACCCTTTTTAACCTAATTTATTCCATCCCAAGTCCCAACACTTATAAAATGCCGATTTTCTCTCCCAGTTTCCATATCAACCATCAAAGACTTGTGTTACAGTAAAATACTTTGGAAGCAAATATAAGCACACAGCCAAATCGGCAATTATATACACTAGAAAATGACGAAACAAGTTCTCATCTCCCTCTCACTCCTACTTCTCTTCTTCTTCCACTGCACCAAAACTACAGCACAATCTCCAGCCCAATCTCCGTCCCAATCTCCGTCACAAAGCCAACCTCAAGCCCCGGCTAAAGCGCCAACATCGACACAACCCGTCGTCGAACCCCCGTCTGAGGTACCCCTTGTTCAAGCCCCGCCGCACAAGGCCGCCACAGCCGCAGCCGCCCCCACCAACGTCACCAAAATTCTCGAAAAAGCCAGCGCCTTCAGCGTGTTCATCCGTCTACTAAAGAGCACATCCGTCAGTATTCAGATCGAGAACCAGCTCAACGTCTCCAACAGCTTGACCATCTTCGCCCCAACAAACGTCGCTTTTTCCGCCCTCAAACCCGGCACTCTCAATTCCCTCTCTACCGAACAAAAGGTCCAGCTCGTGCAATACCATATTCTCCCTTCATTCGTGTCCCTCCAGAACTTCCAAACTCTCAGCAACCCTGTACGGACGCAAGCCAGCAACACTCATGACTACCCACTTAACGTCACGGTTGAAGGCAGTTGGGTGAATATATCGACAGGAATCGTGAACACCACAATTTCCGCGACGGTTTATGAGGACAATCAGCTGGCTATTTACAAGGTTGATAAGGTGCTTCTTCCTCTTGGCCTTTTCGCTCCACGGCGGACAAGGGCCTCAGCGCCTGTGGCGGCGGCGGCGGCGGAAGCACCGGCGCCGACTTTTGCCGTTAGTCCTAAGGAGTTTCCCACTTCGTCATTGCTTGCCCCAGCTGTTGCCGCGCTGCTGAATGATGCGTCTGGTGCTTTTAGTCTAATGATCAGTGCTAGAAATGGCTTTTTTTCTGTTGGTGTTACTGTGTTTGGTGCGGTGATTTCTCTTTTGGCTTAAGTTTGATGAGTTGAACGATTGGATTGTGAGACAATTCTGATCCGGATTGAATGTAAGTGGTCATTGATTTGCGGTGAGTGCTTGTTTGGAATAATTCGCTGTTGGTATTGGACTATATATATATATATATATATATATATATATATCTTGCATATGCATATAGTGCATACGCATTAGACTCTCCTCGTACCACATGAGAATCATGGCAGTGGTAGTGGGTTGAAGGATGGATTATGTCACACAATAATGAAGATCGTACATCTTATAATATTAGGCTCATAGTAGTTTTATATATATATATATATAGTTAGGTATGTTCTTTTTGTATCATGCTTGTAAAGAGTACTTCTGAATTGAATTGATTTGGTCTTCTTCATCCCCCTCCTTTAGATGTCTGATTTAATTAGTTATGATTGAAACTCAAACGTAAAGCATTTAAATTACACGAATGGAGCATATAGTGAATGCTTATATGCAAACCGATCTACACTACATTTACACTTCTAGATGTGTATACATATATGTAAACCTTTTTAAGCACTTCATATTTGATTCAGAAATAAGATGCAAATATCTAAGACCACAAACGGTTAGGACTTTACTAAACGACTCTTCTAATTTGTTAAAAGGGGAAGAAAAGAAAGTTTTGTTGTAGGATGGAAATTGCAAGTTGGATCATTTTTTCATTTGATGGATACAACTTTCTAGGTTGGCCTAGAACAAATTTTAATATGTTTTCATAGATTAAGGGCATTTTTAAATAAAGTACATACTTTAAGTGGCATTTTTAAAATAATTCATCAAACTACCCCTTCAATAATTACCACGTCATCAATTCCGTTAATAAAGTTAACAGAAGGGGCAAAGTTAATAACATTTTAAAGTTTGGAGGGTACGTTGACCAATTTTCAAAATTAAGGAGCAAAGTGACAAATAAACTAAAGTTCAAGGGGCAAAAATAAAATTTATCCTTATTAATAATATATGTACTAATAGTGTCTTTATGGTTTGGTTATCGTTGTATTATTTTTCACCATTTTTATAAGGTCATAAATTATGCCCATTAGATTGTACTTCTTTTTTTATTTCAAATACATTTTGAGAAGAACGAATATTTTTAACTTCATTTGCTACATTAATTGTATGATTTTGGTTGATTTATTTTTGATACATGATCTTGGTTGGATTAGTAAGGGAAATAATTTGAAAGTTAAGGATCCATTAACCCATCCTTTCTCTCAATCTCACATCTGTTTCATCAGTTATCTGTTGAATTTAAACTCATTTTTAAAGTCTCTTTGGTAAATAAATACAACTATAATTCAAACGATTTTATTAGATTGTAGTTTAGATTATAGTTTTTTAGATGAATATCTGTTCCAAAAGTTCCCGTTATTTTTCTCTCAAGGATTGATTTCTCAAAAAGAACTCATGTTCTTTATTGAAAATATCCTCATCAGAAAGCATAACTTCACCTATTTTGAGCTCCCTTTGCAAACGGGTCTTAAGTTCTCTCTGGATGATTGTACAACTAAACCCAGACACAAGCTCTTACTCCGCATTGGCTAATATTTCTCTTTAGAATACGAATCAATTAAAAACAAGTAATTTTGATAAATTCCCTTAAAATGTGGTACCATTAAAAATTTTTGGGTCTCAATATTAGACCTTTAAATTTTACCCATTTGGACTAAAATAAGTCAAAGACCCAACATGTCTAATGCTAAAATTACCCCCAAGGGTCAAAAAGTAGATTATCATTAGGAAATTACAAGACACGACCGGAGAAAATCTCTGGTCACGGCACCACCTGCCACTGGCAACGGTCATAATTAGTTAATAGATTATGTTCATAATCTGTCAAATTATCACGGCAGTAAATCTTCGGTCACCAGTGCTGGTCATAATATGTTAGATTATGATTCATAATATGTCATATTACGCTAGTGCCGGTCATAATCTGTCAAATTATGATCCATAATCTGACAGAATACGCTAATCACCCGTTATAATATATTTCCACAATTTGACAAGTTCTGCTTCATAACCTAACAAATTATATTTCATAATCTGCCAGTTTACCAGGGTGGTTAGTCACCCACTTGCAAGTGCTCGTAATAATCAGCCGTATTATGAATATAATCTACCAATTATATTTTAACCATTTTTTTTAAGGGGTTCAAACAAATTATTTGTATACATTCTATCAAATTTTTTTAATATAGTTATTTATTCAACCATAAAAGAATAATCTCATTGATAATCTATCAAATTCATTCTCCCGCAAATTGATCCAAATAATAACAAAAATAAAACACAAAAAATTCCAACAAAATCATAACAAATACATATTAGAGCATCTCCAATGCAATGTTATAATTGGGCCTTGTTCATTTTACTGAGTCGAGTTTTTAATTCTAGTTTTGTTACAGTTAAAAACTCTCATAAAAAGTCACATCTGACTTTTTCTGCTACAGTTAAAAGCTCACATAAAGTCACTTCTCAACTCGAATTGAAAATTTGAATCGGCAAACTAAAAGAGGCCCTGATGTGTCAATTGCAAATTTAACATTTGAGTGTAAAAAACACTCTCCAATGCAATGCTTTTTATTGTATCAAATTTCATATATGTTATACTTTGTGGTAAATTTTCCACCAAGTATAGCATATGAGAAAATTTTCATTTAATTTTTATTGGTTGAAATGTTTACTTTCTCATGTAATTATTATAACTTTTGTATTTTTTTAATTATTTTAAACATAAAAGTTTACAAACTTTTATAACTTTCAAAGCTTAATAATTATGAGAAAAAGTAGATTTAACATTTTAAATAGCATTTTATATTGAAATAAAAATGAACATAACATACTATATCACATTTTTTTATAGTAAATATACAATTAGTATTAGCATTTGCATTGGAGATGATATGACAATTCATAGATCTCTCACCCAACTAAAGGAGGATGCGTTTTTTTTTTTTTTTTTTTTAAGTGGTTTCGTCCTCATTTCGGTAAAGAGGGGCAGTCCCGTCTCCAATTGTCGGCATGATCTTTAGACTGTCGGAGTTGCATTTTTCCCAGGCGTCCCGTTGACATCATTCCATTTGTGCTATTTTCATTTCTATTCTCTTATATCCGCGGGTATACTACTAACTCCGCCAAGTGATCATCGGAACGGTCGTTGCTTTCCTTTCTTGGTCATTCCCATGATTGAATTATTTCTTATTATTGCTTCTATTATTTTTATAATTATTTACCATGTGATGCACATGAGCTTCACATGCAAGCATGTCACTTGGAGTCCAATTATAAAATTTGTTGACTCACGCTATTATATATGTTACCCTTATTTATAAATATGAGACCTTATAGCTTATGTCAATTGCATGAGAAGAACGTGAGGCCTCATCTATAAATATGAGATCTTATAGTCTATGTTCACTAAGTGGACAATTCAATTTTAGCGATTTGACCTAATAGGCCTTCTCTAACCAATCTAATCATTCTGTCTTGCCCTATATGACCTAGCTTAACATGCCATATCATTATTTGCAGCAGTGATCAAGTAAGAAACGATATTGTTATTATTATTCGAATAATCAATATCCAAAACAATAAGACCATATCCATAGAAAAACCACAACCATAATTAATTGGTCCTAAATAAAACTCACAACCAGTACTACAGAAATTAACATGAAAACCCAACTTAAGCAAAGTAACAACTGATAACAAATGTCGCGGAACTTTTGAAGCATATAGAACATTATGTAGCAATAGAGTGTGCCCACCGCACACTTCTAGCTTGTAGGTGCCAGTGCGCAACACTTGCACGCCAGCTTCATTGCCTATGTAAAGTCCTCGGCTTTGCTTTGAAATCCGACGATACTCAATGAACTCTACTCGGTCTTTCACGACTTGTTCAGTCACTCTCAAATCAACAATCCAATAAGGATCTGAGTGAGCAACCATAACATGAGTATAAACATAAGTTTTGCGAAAAATAAAGGGTGCGTTTGGAACTCGTTCGAAAATGATTTTATTTTTTGTATGAAAATGAAAATGACAACGTTTTTCAATATCAGATAGAAATCATTTTTAAAAATGCGTTTGGTAGTTTTATCAAGAGATTATTTTCAATGTAAAAAACTCATTAATGTCTCTCTTTCTCTCTCTCTGCTCGAGAGAGGAGAAAATGAAAACAAAAAATAAAAAATGACTAAAACTCATTTTTCATTTCTCTCTCATTTTACACTAAACCAAAAAATCGTTTTCATTTCTATTTTTTATCTTTATTGCGCCAAACGCTGTTTTAAAAACGTTTTATTTTTTCTTTCTCAAAAAATGAGATCAATTCTACATACAGTCAAGATCAGGGAGTACCTTTTTCGGCTCAGTGCAGTCACGAGCTAAATGTCCTTCCTTGTCACAGTTGATACATTTTGTTTCTGCCCTTTCCACCTCGCTTGCCTCTTATGCGCTTGGTGGCCTTTGCCTTCTTAGGCGCAGGTCCATTTCCAGAATCATTTCCACGAGCATTGTTCTTGTGCTTGGGCCTGTTTTCCACGGCAGAAGTTGCTGTCATTGTCTAAATTTATTAAAATAACCCTAATAATAAAACTTAATTCTCAACCAACTCATTTACTTCTTTTAAATAAAATTAAAGAATATATTTTGTTTTAAATGTTTATATGAAAATTAAAATTCTTTAATAAATATCTTATGTTAAATTTTAAGAATATATTTTTGTTATAATGTTGCAAGTTTGAAAAATAATTTACCTTAAGTTCTTTACGTTATTTAATTTCTCTATAGTATAATTTATCTCCTTAAATAAAACTAATTTATATTTTAACTAACAAAATGAAAATTATATTCTTTTAGTATTTTGGTGTATAAATATATGAATATTGACTATAAAAATAGAAATAAAACTAATTATAAGTACGTGTTAAAGTATGTCTATTTTAGTTATTATTTATCTTCACAATAATTTTGTACATAGTTTACCGAACAAATAAATTCAAGCTTCTAGTATTTACAGCAACTTTGAAGAGAAAAATTACCAAACACCTACATATTTCTGGTCACAACAACTTCTGAATAACAACACAATAACAACAGAAATTTTTAACAACACTTCAAAGTCAAACTGGTCCTAAAACATTAAGACATTAACTACTTCAAGTTCTTCCAGGAAAAAAAAAATATATATATATATATAATTACAATGATCTATTTCAAGTTCAAGAGTTTTGATGCACAAACATACTTGTGTTTCGTTATCTCGCTTCCTCTTTGTATATGGGTGTGCATGCACGTGTATAAGAGGCAGCATAATCAAGAGAAAAATATTCACGTAGGAGGAGGAGAAAAAATATTAAGTGGTGGCTTAATTCTTAAAAAAGAAAAAGGAAATCAAGTAATGTAAGCATCAAGTGGGGCACAATTAAAATAAATAAATAAATAAGTGAGAGCAAACTAGCAAAATGATAAATATAAAATATAGAGGATAATTGAATTAAAAAAAAAATTGAGTGTCGCCACTCCCCACTACATATATAGGCGCCCCTCCCAATTGCCAACAGAAAACTAAACCATTGACAATGAAAAGCAAAAAAACTACTTAACAAATGGAAGTGAGATTTATTAGGACACGTTTGTTTCATATACTCAAATTTAAATCATTAATTTTGTTATAGTATTTTCTTTTCATAAAAAAATTAAATCTCAAACATAAATATTAAGAATTATGCTTTGAGTATACATTCCAAATAAAACCTAATTTAACTTCTAAAGATGTACGAAAATACAAAGTGAAGTGAAAGGTTATAATTAGGTTCTTTTATAATTAGACAATTTTTAATATAACTTTAACAATTGTAGAAAAATATTGATAGTTTATTTTTTCATCTTATTAGAGAAATTCTCTTTTTTTTTTTTTTTTTAATTTGGATGACTGAATCAAACTCTAAATCTTAATATTAGAGACGCGATTCAGATTTACTGATAGAATATATCAACAACAACCTCTTTTTTTTTTTTCTCTCTCTTAGATGTTAACTTAAGAACATCAAAATTCTAAACAATAACTATTTAAACTCTAAATCTTAATATTAGAGACGTAATGCGGATTTTCCAATAGGCTATATTTACAACAATCTCCTTTTTTTTTTTCCCCCTTTAGATGTTACCTTAAGAGAGTCAAAGTTCTAAAAAATAACATAAAATTAAAGGGTGAATCAAGGGAGGCACATTCCATAATTCTATGGAATGTATCTGATGCCAATATCTCCACGAGCCTCCTAAGAGCTAAGCTTTGGCACTACTGATCGCGAAGTGGAAAACCTTGATCCACGAGATCGCTTTTAAAACTTCTTTAATCTGGGCTTGTAATTTCTTGACTAAAGCCTATCAAGCTTTTATGCTGGGCTATCAAGTTTGGGTTTGCTCATACTACTTTTTTCCAGGCCCGTGATGACCGAACGGGACGCCGATATATATATCCGTTTATTTCACTGATTTGAGTTTAAAATTTAAGTTTTATTATACTAAAAAGGTCTTAAAAATAATCATATTTAATTTTTTTACTACAGTAAAAAGTTCTCACATAAAATCACATCTCAATTTAAATTAAAAATTCAAATCAGCGAACTAAACAGCCTATAAATAATTACCTGAATTTGCACTTTTGGTGCTGTAGGGCTGCAAATCATTGCTGACTTAATATGACATGTATTACCTGAAAATGACTCGAATGTACACTCCATTTCTTTCCTTATCCGACTTAAACTAGCAAATAGGATGAGTGAGTGAAAGTCCCTTGTTTGAAACCGATTGTTTAACACATACATAAAAGTATCAACCACTACCATATCTTGTTTGATTAAGTTACCACACCTATAAAATAGTTTCGATCCCACGGGAAATTGTATATATTTTGTACTTAAGTAATAAATACAAGAACCAAGAGTTGAATGATCAAGTGCCGAAAGAACATATGTACGTGAACAACGAGGCACTTAAAACCAACTTATAACAAATATCGATTCATTTCCCGGGGCCAAATTTCTGTTTTCAGTCCAGAGTTACATGTACTAGCCAGAAATTAATTGAGACTTTTAGCATTAATAAAAAAAAAAAAAATTAATTGAGACTTAGCAATGCAATGATTTGGAAAGCTAGCTAATTAGCTAGAGTCACCTAGATTAATAATTGATTTTGGTGGTCACTGTGCTTTATACTGAATATCAGATAGATTTGGTTTAATAGAATGGTGAGGTTGCCCATATGGTCGTCTCTGCTTAATTTGATCCACTTATAATATTACTTGGATCAGCCCTAATTACCATGATATTCATGAAAGTTGGGAAGTACTCGTCAGGCACAACTTGCAAAATTGTCATCAATCACAATCATATATGCACTGGCAACAAGTGAAACACTACAGTAAAAACAAACTTCTTCCTTAAGGTATGCGTGTTGTGGGCAATGGAAATCAAATTTATTAAATATTTTTATGTTCTCTTTTTACCCAAATAAGTGAAAACAAAGCAATCATCCACACCCTTTTTCAGCCCACACCCACTTGAAATCCCCCTGTTTTTCCTGTTTTTCCAAGCAAACTAGCTATAGCCCATCTAACACTATAATCTGTTGTCATATATTCTCTCTCTCTCTCTCTCTCTCTCTCTCTCTCTCTCTCTCTCTCTCTCTCTCTCTCTCTCCATTCATTAATTCCTTCACCTTCCCAACAAAGTCAGACATGCTAACTACTGAGGTTTCACAAGTCATAACTAAAAATGGAACCCTTTCACCTAATTTTATACCCTCTCACCATCAATAAAAACCCTACTTCCCCCCTAAACCATGCATCAAACACTTTTGTGACGTCCAATACTTCTCTTCTGTTCTCTTTTCTTCTCTACCACCTTTCCACACCACAAAACATGTCCAACAAAATGCATATCTCCTCACTCTCACTCCTCCTCATCCTCATCTCCCACGCCATCACTGCTGCCTTAGCCCAGACCGCGGCCCCCGCGAAGTCGCCGGGCCCCGCCCCCTCCACCGACATCTACAAGATCCTCATCAAAGCCGGGCAATTCACCGTTCTCCTCCGCCTTCTCCGGAGCACCCAAGTGGGCGACCAGATCAACAACCAGCTCAGCAGCACCAACAGCGAGCTGACCCTCTTCGCCCCGCCCGACAACGCCTTTTCGAGCCTCAAGACCGGCACTCTCAACCAGCTCTCCGACCAGCAAAAAGTCCAGCTCGTCCAGTTCCATCTCGTTCCGGCTTTCATATCCATCTCAAACTTCCAAACTCTTAGCAACCCCGTCCAGACTCAAGCCGCCGACACCTACGAGTACCCTCTTAACATCACCACCAACGGCAGCCAAGTGAACATCACCACCGGGGTCGTTAACACCACCATCACCGGAACCGTTTACTCCGACAATCAGCTGGCGGTTTACCAGGTGGACAAAGTGCTTCAGCCTCTGGGGATCTTCGCTCCAAGGCCTCCGCCGCCCGCCCCCGCCCCCGCCCCGCCGAAGTCTAAGAAGAAGGCGGAGACGGACACCGATAGCCCGGCGGCTTCGGTGGATGCTTCCGACGCTATTGGTCGTGGCGGTGTTAGAATTACTATTGGGATGGTCATGTCGTTTGCAGTTTCTCTTCTTGTGGCCGTTTTCTTGTGACGGAAAAATTACTACTGAGTTTTCATGATTTTTTTTGGTTGGGATCATAATTTTTGGTGATGAAGCAAGTTGGATTGAGCGGCGGTCATGGTGGACGTGGTGTGTTGGATTGAAATAATGGTTGTCTCTGTTAGATCCCATTGGTTTCATGCATGCCGGTTTGTGATGATCATCAGAACCAGTTTTTAATTTCATTTGAATTTTATGTTTTCTTTTCTTTTTTCTTTTTTTTTGATCTTGGCAATTCTTCTGTATTTTGTATTCTGTTTTCCGTTTTCTTATTCATATCTTGAGCTTCTTGTATTATGACAAACCTGTATGATTATTCTCCAAGAAAAGTTGCCTCGAGCTTATGATTTGTCAGTTCAATTTTGGCCATTCTATTGATTTCCCAACGAGAATTAACGGTAAGAAATATTAGGAACCATACATTAACTAAAATAAAACTCTCTTATATATATAAATATATACCTTCGATCCAGAAATTTATATATATATATATATATATATATATATATCTTCAATACAAAGCTGAGTTTTCATCTTTAAAGACCGCTAGATAAAAACAACAAGCACACGTGTAATTGGCTAGAAGTTCTAATTAATAATGATTTAGGTTTATCTAGCTAAATAAAGTTTGAAATTAGGGTGAAGGAAGCTAGCCGTACGTATAACTTGTGCATACAACCTTATATATAAATCCTCAACTTGATGGAAGAGGTAAATAGGCCAAGACTTAAGATGAATTAAAATTAATAGGCTAATAGTTTATATAAGTTAATAAATAGGTTAAATTATTATTTTTGTCCATAACTTGTCTGGTTATAAACCGTTATGAACCATAACTTGACAAGTTTGTCCATAACTTATCTGGTTATGAACCATAACTTAACAAATTATGGCCTATTAATTTTTATAACTAAAAATAAGCATATATATTATTTTAAGCTTTTTTTATATTGGCGATATTATCTATGCATCAACCAGTGAAGTGATTGGGCTGAAAACTAATAGTGCGCCGATTGAGCCCAAGTTCTATTTGAGTTTCCACTTGCAATAAACTGGCTAAAACAAAATATTTATGTAACCCAACGGGTTATTTGGGTTACTACCATAATTAGTAGGCCCTACCTGGTGGGAAAGGGTCCACTGATTGTGAACGGTTTGAATAAGTAGACATTTTTTGATTCAAGTGCTCTATTTAAACATTCCTATAAATAACCCTCTCTCTAAATGTAAAAGTCCTCGGATATTAGTGTGATTCGTGAACATGTATTTTCGGAAAACAAAATTAAGAAAGGGAAAATGCACCCTATAGCATATTTTATACCTATATTTAAAGTGAATAGCATATTTTTTCAATGATAATAAATTATAACATATTATTAGTTTTTATTTTAAAATAGATTAATCTCTTCCAACCCAGTCATTTCTCTCTCTATCTCCCTCTGTCCCCACCCACTCTCTCTCTCCTCCGAGCACTCTACCTCTCTCCTCTAGTCACCCAGTCGTTTCTTGTTCTCGTTGCTCTCTCTCTCTCCTCGTGCTGCCGGTGAACGCTGCACAACGCCGCCACCAATCTTCGCCAAGTGTTGTCGTCGTAATGCTCTCTCCACCGCCGTCGTCGTCTGTGCGCCAGCTTCAATGTCACAACGAAGATCCTTCTTTCTGGCGCCGATTCAACTTTTCTTCTCCGTCGTGATTCAACCGTAGAAAGAATATCACACTTTGCTCGTTACTCGTTCCTAGTCCGATGTCGGTGACGTTCCTTATTCGTTGTCCCCAATCAATCGTGGTAGGTGCAGCGGCTGTGGATATTAGATCCGCTGCCTAGGGTTCCAATCGACTTCTTGACAAATCCGTCAGTGTGGATTTCAAATATTGTGGTCAGCGACCATATATGTTGTTTAGTTCTTTTATTTCCTTCTTTTCTTTATATGTATCAATTTGGAAAAGAATATGTGTGTGTTGTTTTATGGATATTTCTTTGGTTTTTGAGTTAGGAAAACTGAGCATATATTCGTGGAAGAGCTGTTTCTGGTCTTTTAGAAACAAAATGATGAAATATTTAAATTTGTTTGTTTGATGTATTTTATATGATTTCGATCAACGTAGATTTTCCTTTGCAGTATTTACCGGTAAATATATTATCAAACGGTTACCGGAGTCGGTATCTTAATTTTCAGATAAATATGCTATTTACTCATAAATATGGTATTTATTGATAAATACGATATTTACCTGTAAATACAATGTTAAACGGTCGCCGGAGTTGTTGGCCGGATTTTTAGATAAATATAATATTTACTCGTAAATACAATACATTGTAAAACTGTAATGATTCCTCACGGACCGTCGCAGTAACTTAACTTTCAAACATTTACCTCTTAAAGAATGCGAACAATAGATAAGCTTGAAATAATTTACTTTGCATAACAAAATGAATGACTTAGAGAATTCCTATAATATTTTTTTAACTAATAAAAACTTTAAACTTCCTTAAAGAAAAATAACCTTTAGGTTCAACATACTTATTAAAATCTATACCTTGAAATAAACTTAAAAAGTCTAAAGTATTATTCAAATAAAAAACCATCATAAACCATAGTACGAAAGCAATAAAAATTAAAATTAAAACTTAATTAAATTAAACAATTTCATTCCATGATCGTTTCTCTCATTTTTCCATCACGCATAGCTCGCATCCGCTCCAAGATTCTCTATGGCTACATGAATTAACTAATATAAGCAAAAGCTGAGTAAGTCACTTAAATCTCACAAATGTAAATGAACATTTTTATTCATCAAACAATAAACGTTATCATGAGAACATATATTTTTGAACATATTTTAACTTTAAAATCCATCATATATTGCGCCCTGCGTTGTACCGTCATAGCGCGCTAGTCATAGAAAGCATAGGTTATAGCAAATCTCATATTAATCGTGACAATAAATTCACTCACTGGTCACCATCAAGGGTGTACAATGCCATTTAAAAACACAAAAATACATATATGCATTTTTCTTCAAAACGTCATCATAAGAGAAATATTAAAAGTGTCATAACATCATCATAAACGTTGAAATCATATACTTTTCAATTAGTCAATTCATGTTGCAGGTGAGAGTATACTTACATGAATGCTTTACTTAACGTTTTTAAATATCTCAATGGTGACATGACGAATAAGGTTCTCGGGAGATCGCCTCTAAAACCGTTCATGCCATAAATCATAAAAAAATTAGTAAAAAAAACTCAACAACTCATCAAACACATCAATCACGTTAAACAACGTCTAATAGACCATTCCCAACATTCATTAACATTAAGACATAAAAAAACCCATCAATTATACAAAATTACAAAACTTAACAAAAACTGGCAGCATGACCTTTACCCCTTTAAAAATTCATAACAAATCACACATAACTCAAAATAACCTGAGACTAGTGCCAATTGAAAATAAACATCCAGATTTTTCCAACAGTATCTAATTTGCTAAAAATGGAATTCATTTGTTCCCTCAAACATTATTTTAAAGTCAGATCACATAAGTTGGAAAATTCCAGCACTTGTAAATTCCGAAAATACCAAAATAAATTCATTAAAGATGAAATCAACTCCAACCACATGCGTTTAACCAGCCCTAAGATATGTTCCTAAAACATTCAAATCACACATTCTATAAAAATCCTTGTGGCAAAGCAAGTTAGAAACATCAAGATGACCACCAAAATTCACCTATCTTGCAACTCGAATCCAAAAACAACATCCTAACTCATGTTTCTATGAAATCACAATTTATAACATAGAAGAAATAAAAATATAAGAAAATAACATAATTCTTAGCACGATTCTCTAGAATTTATCAAATTATAAAGACACCAAAACACCCAAAGTAATAACCTGGTCATGCATTCCAATCCAAAATAAAAACCTGTAGCTATGGACATTAAACATCACCTAAATCACATATATCCTCCCTCAATCATCAACCAATAAATATCCTCCATCATCATTTCAAGCTATTATAATCAAACTCAAAGTAAATTTATCTAAACTCTCATGGAATTTAAAACCAAACAACAAGAAAGAACTATACCTTAAGAATCCTCTTGATTTTGGGTTGGAAGAATCGAAAGTTAACAAAATGGATAAAAGAATGGAGGTTTGATGGCTGGTCTTGGAGGCTCTTTGTGACTTTTTTTTTCCGAACGTGTGGAAGGTGGAAGAGAGAAAGAGAATTTCATTAGAGAGAGGCAAAGAGCAAGAGTTAAAAATACTTATTGCCTCATAAATCATATAAAATTTAAAGGGATTAATTTGGCATTAATTGAGGATTAATTCTATGATTAAATAACCCCTTAACAGCTGGGGGAATGGTTACCATTAGGGTGTAAAATCGTGTGGAAGACAAATAAAAGAGCGAAAATAGTAGAAAATATGCCAATATGAAAAGCTTAAGAAAGTATATAGGCCAACTTTTAGTTATAGAAATTAATGGGCCATAACTTGTCAAGTTATGGTCCTTAACTAGATAAGTTATGGACAAACTTGTCAAGTTATGGTTCATAGTCAGACAAGTTATGGACAAAAACTGTGAATTATGGACAATAACTTGTCAAGTTATGGTTCATAACTAGACAAGTTATGGACGAAAACAGTAATTTGGCCTATTTATTAACTTATGTAAACTATTGACATATTAATTATAATTCATCTCAAGTCTTGGCATATTTCTCTCTTTCTCCCATAAAAGAGTTAGGTCAACTTCTAGAATTTCTGTTCTTGTTCGCGTGCAGTAACCTGGTCGAGGACTGCTGGGTATCCGGATGGTATACTGGCCACATCTTCTTACTCTGGTGTTCGATTTGTGCAAATAAAAAGGCGTTGGAAAGCTTATAAAAGGCTCTACAGCTTTGTATAAACTAGAGGAATGATTTTAGAATTTTAGAGGTTTAAATAGAGCTAAAAATTAACGTCATGGAAATGTTTATTTTATCCAAAAAGAAAAAATCAAGAAAAACTTATAATTTTCCTAAGACACTTAATTTCATGCATTATAACATGAAGTACATCATGAATATATATTCATTTATCAAATCATCAAAACAAAATATATAAATATATAAAGTTATATATAATTTTTATAAAATGGCATGAACTTCTTCTCGGCACCTCAAGTCCTTGTCGCGTTTACCTGTAGAAAATAACTCAACCTAATGTTAGAATTAACTAAATATAACACCATAACATTATTCAAGTTAGTTCTTAACATCTAATTCTAAGAATTTTGTTAGTTTAGAAAAATAGGTGTTACAAAACGGTCACAGAGTTAGTAGCCGGATTTTTCGATTAAATATGATATTTACTAGTAAATACGGTATTTACCTGTAAATACAGTGTTAAACAGTCGCTGGAGTCGACAGCCGGATTTTCAGGTAAACATGATATTTACTAGTAAATACAATATTACTTGTAAATACAATATTACTTGTAAATACAATATTACTTGTAAATACAGTGTTAAACGGTCGCCGGAAAAATAGACTCTGAATTTTTTGGTAAATATAATTGTGACGACCCTAACTTTTGATCATCATCCTAAGTTCATACTTAACCTCTACTACTTACTAGTTATAACCTCTTAAAAATTCAAGCCAATTTTTTTCATTCTTACCATGTACGTCTAAATGCTATAGCATTTAGCTAGCCTTCTGTTTTCAACTATTAGTAAAATGCTGTAGCATTCTAACAACATTTTGTACATTAGTCATTCTCAAAATACTGTAGTATTCTAATAGCATTTTGTTATATTAGTCATACCTAAAATGCTGTAGCATTCTGTTACATTAGTCATACCTTGTGACTGGAGGTTGCTATGCATAGCCTCACCGTCTCGTAAGCTTAACTTTCATTACATAACTCATTTATTTTCATAAAACACTATTTACTTTTTACACATAAAGTTCAACAGCGTTTCTAAAACACGTGATGCATCCATAACCCACTTGCCCACACTCCACTACTACATCCTCTATGCATGCCCAGCAACAAGTTTTAGGGAGCTGGTGCCTTACCCGAGCTTCCTACAACACGAACAAACTTAATGAGCTTTCGCTCAGCAAGTATCAATAGGTCATAACAGATGCAATAATTATGCATACCCATATATGCATTCATGTCATATCATAATACATTTTGTGCTACTAAAACATGTATGGCTTATGTTCTTCTTTCATTACATTCTTTGTTCTGCTTTCGTCTCATTTTAGTTGTTCACATCGAATTTTCACGTTCTGAACGACTTTCATTTTCCGTTTCTCATTCTTTTCATTCTTCTTTACAGATATTGTACCTTTATATGGAATGGTTTCTGTTTTTCATTTTCTTGTCTTTTACTTCTTATAAGCCCTGTCCTGTTGTACCATAGCGCACATAACCAGTGAGGAGTGGGGTAGCTAACCAATCCAGCTCAGTCACGGTTTCATTTCTTTCATAGTCTCATAATAACCTTTCCTTCGAAAGCTGGTACAACAGGATGTTTGGTCTCTTACATTTATCAATTTTCTCATTGAAACGGTAACTTTGGTTAAATCTTATGAATTTGTTCATTTTGAGCAATTTATCATGAGATTAATTTTTTGTTAAAGTTTAACTATTTCTCGTAACTTGACCTTGACTTAACATCGTTACATACTTTTTGCAAAATAAAGTTCTACGACTACTCAAGTCTTGTAGATACATGCTTAACATTGTATCTATCATTCACATTGTATCTAACATTCAAAATTCTACCATCTGCACAATTTTGTGCAACATAGAAAAGTAAGCTTGTTCGTGAAATAGCCATAGAAAAACTATTGTACTTACAAAGGTTTCGCTAACAATGCGTCATTCGTCTCACTTGGCGCTTTCCGACTTCAGTCGTTAATCGATCCTATTGCATAAATTTTAGATCATTAGATTCAAAATCTACGATCAATAATACATTTAAAATTCAATTCGGGAAGGTCTACAATCCTTAAGTTTGGTATTCAATCCCAAAATATTTCATATCTCAATATTTTGCACTAAAACCGTGCACGTTCCTTAGTTATGGCCAAATTTTCAGTTTCGGTCCAAAACTGTGAATTCTTATTGTGTTCGGTTTCTATACATCACCGATTATCGAATCACCTTACTTTTCACACTTAAATCCCTTATTCCTCTTGAAATCCGGTTTTAGTAAAAAACTCAAACTAAATTTCAGCAGAGTTTTGCCTATTTCTGCATGTTTCCCGAGCTAACCTTAGCTCGTTTTATTCATTGTTTACACTACCAAACATAAATCACATACTTTCTCTTTCCATTTTATCATCAATAATATCACAATTCCTAGGGTTTCACCCAAGTTCTCACAAAATTTTCCATGGCCAAATAGGCTAGAACAAAGTCAAATAATCAAGAATCTCATCCTTAATTCACTAGATTTTCGAGTCCTTAATCATCACAAGCTAATCATCATCTTAAGTAAAAAATTTTCATGCTTTTCACCATTCTTCCACGTGCATCCATGGTAGGGAAATAACAAGAAAAATTCGAATTCTCACCTTAGAAATGAAGAACGAACTTCGCGAACTAGCGGTGTCGTTCCGTCAATTTCGATCGAAACACTCTTTTCTCACTTTGGATGAATTTTTTTCTCTTCCTTTCTCTTTGGCTGAGTTCCCTCTGCTCTTAACATGAAAATGAGCATTTCTCACGTTTTACCTCTTAAGTGAGCCGACCATTACATGAGCAAAAGTCCAAAAGTGAAATTTTGACTTTTCCATGAGCTTTTTACTAAATTCCCAACATATCCCACAAATATCTCTCATTTTCCTTCTCCATTAACTCTTGGCCGGCCACCACTAATGCCACTTGGCATAATCTCAGCCTTTCCTCCCATTTTCACTTTTAATCTCAACCATTGATAATTTTATAATTATCCTATTTTAGTTCAGTTTAATTCTTATCCGGTACGCATTTTATACGCGTTTTTCAGACAGATGGTCAACTTAGTCAACCTTGACCATTCTTGACTAACCTTTTGAGGGCGACGTTTTGATCGACTCTAGTCAACAAACTTTGACTCGGTCAACTCAAATCAGTCGAAACTCTAATTTTTTTTTCGGTTTGGCCTTCTGAACCCCTTTTTTGTCCGTTTTTCGTTCCGATTGTTTCTAAAACCCTAGAATTGATGTCTTTCAATTCTTTTTCATTTCTTAAACTTATCATTCATGTGTTTACCCACTTGTGGGCTTGACACAACATTCCATACTTCTTTCTTAAATATAGTCTGAAAATCAATAATTGCATCGTAGTTCATAAATTTCTAAACTTTAGCTTATAACTTGCTATTCCATACTTATACCAGCAAATACTTATAATAAAAGTATTTATATTAATAATAAAAAGGATTCTAAAGAATATCATCCTATACAATTATTCTGATAAATTTCTCGGTCATGACAATAATTTATTGGTAACTACGGTATTTACATGTAAATACAATGTTAAACAGTCACCGAAAAAAGATCGCTGGAAAATGGTCGCCGGTCGCCGGATTCTCCCACCGTCAGTTGTCAGTCCCGGCCATGGTGGACTTAACTATAATCTACATATTTAAAAAATATGCTATAGTTTATTTTTTAAAGAAAAATATATATGTTTAGGGAGAAGAAATGAGGTGAAAATGGAGGTTTAGGGGTATTTTTAAGTGTTTAATAATATTTAAAACTTAAAATTTTAAATTATTCTATAATCTACTAATTTTTAAAAATATATTATATCTTATTAATCACTCTACCTATATCACTCTTTATCCCATTAAGAAAATAAAAAGATTTGAGGCCGACAGTCCTTGAAACCTTCTTGAACTATGTACATGGTACTGGCCGAGCTCAGAATAAGGTGGAGTAAACGTACAGTAAGCCCAAACTTGATTGAACGCATTCTTTTCACGTATAGAGTTCAAGACCTTTTTTTTCTGTTCTTTTTTCTTTTTGCTGAATAAAAAAGAGTACATAGACCTTATAGCTACAGAGAGCAAAATACTCACCCCCTCATTTATTTCATCTCCTTTCCCCTCCCCTTTTGGTTCAGATATATCAACGTGTAATTGTCACTGAAATGTCTAAATTATGGAACAAATATTGGTCGTTAGATGAAAAATTAATGGGACGGAATAATTTTTTTTTTATCATATTTAGAAGCCTTATTATATATATGTATATATATAAAAGGTCTCCTGCTTCATTCTTTTCTTTTCTTTTCTTTTTTAAACGCAACTAGATAACTCTTTTCAAGAGTCTAAATATTGAAAGCAACAATTAAGTAGGGCTCATTATTGATGAGAGAAGTTCAACTGCAGATTGTAAAAGGAGAAACTTTTGGAAGGAATAGATGGAGAATAAGATTTTTTTTTTTTTTTTAATTCTGTATAGTGCAGTTTTATTATTGTAGGATAGTAGTATCAAGCCACTAAATATATATTATATTCAATAGCTAAATTTTCTATCGTAAAAGGCATTTTATAGAATTCATAGATTTTTTTTTGGTAATCAAGCTAATTATCAGTCCGAAAATTTAAGTCTCTCTTTCTTTGAAGAATTATTTTGCATTAACCTTTTATTTCTTTTTTTGTCAAAATCTATATTTTAATGGAGTCAAGCATAGAATTACCACTATTAAACTGGTGTGGGGTTAGTAGCACTGAAATAAGAAGAATTTTGGGGTAGGGTATTATAAAACAGCAACCAATTATATGAGCTAACCATAGATCAAATTTATATATTGTTTTAACATAATTTAATAAAATCTAATGGTTAAAAACTCGTGTATACTATCAGTAAATACTTTTTTCCTACCCCATTGATGAATTCTCCTTGGAAATAATTATCAGTCATATGATTTTCACTACGACGAGGCTCAACAAAAGTAAACGATCACTTTCTCCAAATGAAAATAGAAATAATTACCCCTTAATTTACCATTAAAAAAATTACCTCGTAATTGCTCTTACCTTACCTCTACTGATTATTACCCTCTTTCTACTCATCCCTTGTTTTCTTTTTCTAAATTTTATGTATAGAATTCGCCCCCTTAAGAAGAAAATTACTAATTATTTTTTAAATAATATAATTTTTATATTATATATTTTAAAAGAGAGGAATATTGCCCTGTTCATTTCATTTATTCGAGTTTTGTTACAGTAAAAAATTCTCAGAAACAGTCACATCTAACTTTTTTACTACAGTAAAAAACTATCGCATAAAGTCACATCTCAACTCGAATTAAAAACTCGAATCAGCGAACTAAACAGTAAGTCTTGCTATGAAGGAATCGTATAGTATTGTGCCTATCCCATCGTTTGGTGTGTTTAGGAAATTAATACAACTGATTATAACCCAATAGTGGTCCACGTATATACTACTCACTTTTACATAAAAATTAGAGAAAATTATTGAGCTAGACTGTATAGATTCGGATTTTTACTTTTTATTTTTAATTAATACTCTTTGACTAATAAATTCTTGAGTAAAATATATATTAATAAAAAATAAAAGATAAAAATCTAAACTCGTACTCTAAAAGGTATTTATATTCTTCTCTCTTACAGTAATCATGGCTTATACAGTTGAAAGGAGAATCCAAATTCACGTGGCAAGTATTATTCGGTCTAACACGCAAATATAATGGAAGAAACGAGAATTATATAATCACAACATCGGATAATCGTTTGAAAGCTCGCTCTAAGTATCTAATTTCGAAGACTTTTCTTTTCTTAACTTTTTTTGGTTTCTTGTTTTCTTGTATAATTTTGGGAGTCTCTCCGATAGATGACATGCATCACTGACTTAGAGAAACCGCAAGCCATCAAGGTTGACGTGAAAACCATACAATCATGATTTGACTCCGATCATTCCGCAATTTTCCATTTTTCACACCCTATATATAGGCCGGCAATAAAAATCACGATAATACGACTCGAAAATAATATAAAAATTATGAGTTAGGATTGAAAAAAAAAAAAATCAGGTTAGATTTTGATTGACTTGAAATTGATATGAAAAATATAATTTAATATTAAGTTGGACCCACTTAACTCAAACACGACACAAAACACGTAAAATTATTATTTTTTAAATATATTTCACATCATATATTTTAGATTTTGTTATGAACTATTTATCTTATAATAGTTGTTCTCAAAATCTTGTATTTTTATTCACTTAATTCTGTGGATGTTATCATATTTTGGCGTGTTATGAACTTTAAGTTCTTTATAATGTGTAAAAAATGCAAGTATATAACATTTTTCGTGTCAATCTCGGATTTATGATTCAATTTCGTGTCCCGAGTCATTTTCTTGTTGTTTCATATCAACCCATAAAATGATCGTGTCATGTTCATGTTGTAATTTTTTTTTTTAAATTTATGTGTCTTAAACTGAAACGATTAAAACACCAAAAGAATACGACGTGACGAATTACCACCCTTACCAATATATTATATGTAATTGATAGCGTTAACTTGTATACGTTTGAATTATATCAATACGATATATTCAAACAAAAAATGGAGAATTTTTTTATATGATATGAAAAAAAAAATTTATATGTCAAAATTTTATTAGTTTTTGTTAGATTATCATATTTTATCTAATTTGATATAAACTTTATTTTCTTGACCGAAAAAGTCATACTTAATTTTATTTTACAGTTAAAGGCTGTGTCTTACCAATTGAAATTTTCTTCAATGAATTCTTTTAAAATATATATACAATTAACCAAACTTGATAAAAATCTAGCATAATACCAATAGAGAACTTTCTTTTGTAAGGTATAAAAAACAGACACTCGTAACAGTTTTTAATCGTTAACTCAGAATCATATTAAATTGAATAAAATATGACAATTTTGATAGAACTTGATAGAAGTATGACAGTTCAATTCAGTTTTTAATCGCCAAATAATTAATCATATCAAAATGAATGAAATATGACACTTTAATACAACTTAATAAAAGTTTGATAGTAAAAACTTATGTCATACTAGTAAGGTATTTTTTTCATACCCTACCAGAATTTTCTCTCTTGAATTCTAGAGATCTTTTCCTTTATTTAATAGTAGTTATTGGTGCCTTAAATTTCAAAGCTATTTTTCTTTGATGAAAAGTAGGAATGTCAATATTCTCTAGGAAACGGGAACCCGCCCCGAACAGAACAGAAATGGGGAATAATTATTAGGGATGAGAACAAAATTTAGTCCCGATTCGTTGCGGGGTGGGGACGGGGGAGTACTCCCTACCCCGCCTCTGCCCTGATATTTGTATTATTTTTCTAATATTGCAAATATATATACACACATAATCTCTTAAAATTTAAGTTTTTTTGAACTATGATTCTTAAGAAGAAATAGGGTGTAACCATGCAATGAAGATTGAAGCTATTAGGAATAGACAAGGAAAGCTCATTTGAGTTTATGTCTTTAAAATTTTTTTATTACTTTTGGATTTAGATTGTAATATATTAAGAATTTAATTTTTATTATGCCACTTTCAATTTTGGTCTAAATTTATAATGAATTTCTATTCTATTTTTATTTTAAGTTACTATAATTTTAAAATATATAATCCTATATGATGGAGAATGAAACGGGTATGAGAAAGACTTTCTCAATGAAAAATTTTTGATTCCAACCCTACCCCTCTTTGAACGGGAATGAAAACGGGATAGGAACAATTTAGAGAGACAGAGATAGAGATGGAAAATCATCCTCCGTCCTCATCCCGCCCTATTGCCATCCTTAATGAAAAGTGATGGTTTCATTCAAAATCAAAGACAAATTTTACATTGTAGAATCGACATAACAAAACAATCATTATACATTAAATAAAATATTAAAACCATTACTTCAATTATATAATAAGGAGGAATTCATTGTGCACTTTTTCTAATTAGTTGCACATAACTCCATAATTGAAATAAGATTGAGTTCCACAAAAAATAATTCTTTTATTGTTTTAAAATGTCATCCGTCTTTAACACAGGTTCTTTTGCCTTATACATTAATGAATCTAATATTATTATTCATCTTCATTTACCTAGAATCTTCAAAATTTGGCTTATAAAAGCTACATATCTAGTAAAAAGCCATACAAAACGACATAAAAACATTAAAAGAATATATAAAATCATAGTTTATTGAATCCAAGTAAACAAAACGTATCATCACTATAGATCGAGATATAAGTTGACACATAATTTTATTTAAAATATTAGAAATTTTGTTGTAGGATATGTTCTTTCTAATTATTATTTTAATTGTTGGATTAAATTTTCAAAAGCTTGGTTCTGTTGAAGTAATTTTATGTCGTGCGCTGTAAATTTTTAACATGAACACTTATAAATTAAATTGTTAAAAACTTAATATAACATTCAAACAACAATTCTTATCAGTAATTAAAAAAATAGGTCTGCCTAAGACCCCTTAGTCTTGTGGCAGTGGAGGATTTGGGTGAGGTGGGGTTTGTGGATTCAAAGGTTTTGAATAGAATATATACAAAGGTTTTGAATAGAATCGAGCACGCACAGATACAAAGGTTTTGAATAGAATATATACATATATAGATATATGTAACTGATTTCTTTTTCTTACATTTTCAGTTCAATTATTTTCAAAGGAATCCAGTTCGATGATATAAGATTTAATTGATCAATATATTACATATTCACACATACATGCACACACTGTGTGCACAAATATGTACGCATATAATATGTAGTGCAACAAATAATATGTAGTGCAATAAGGAATTTCATTTCTTAGCAATATGGTATAAATCTGTCAAAAGGGGGGAATATACAAGCAAAAACAGAGTGGGGAACAATTCAGTCATTCGAATCTGACAATAAAACTTAGATATATGAAAGGTACTCGGTTTAATATAATAAATATTATTAAGTGAAACATTCAGATAAGGGTAAGGCGTTATTCAAAGAAAATGATAAAAGAAAATATTTATACAATTGCATGTTTACAAAATTGATGAGATATTCAAATATAGGACCTCAACATATATATTTTAAGCTTATGGATAGTTAGAGGCATATATATGTACTCCAAAGCAGGGGGTAACAATTGGAGTAATGTTTGTGTTAATCCAAACTTTTTTTGTCAGTTTCGAGTTAATCTATAAGTGAAAACATCTCATATCCATAAGTCAACTTTATTACAATTAATTTGAGTGTGAATTTACGTACTTAATATCTTGTTATTCATACTTTATAAATTTATGCCACAAATCTTAACTGCTTCATTTTATTTAAAATAAATATGTTAAAAAAATTATATTACTTCAACAGAACATTTGTTTATATATGTGAATATTTTTAAATAAACAGTTAATAAATTGAGTCAATTAAAGTCAATTTTTCTGTTAATCGTGTCTAGGTTGAATTCGAGTCACTACTACACAAAAGTTAGATTGTTTACTACGTACAAACACGTGCTAGAAGCTGAAGAAAAAGCTACCCTTGTACACCCAAAAAAAAAAAAAATCTACTCTTGTCCGGTAAGGTAATTATCACAGTTTCGAGAATCGTTAACAGTGATGTCACTAACAATAATTAACATATGCTATGAGTCTGATAATTATTTTCTTCACTAATTTTACACAAAATAAAATCTTTGACTTAAGTTTTCTAAGGTTAATCCAACCATAAATGCCAAATATATAATTATTGGTTTAAACATTTAAGATTCGTAAATTTTCTCATCATTTTTTAGGGGAATTTTCTCATCAATTGACAGAAAAAATGTTATACATCATCATGAGTTATACGGTTCAAATTATACATGAAAATGCGTACCTATATACCCAACATAATACGGGGCAACCACGTAGGCAAAAATTAAAATGCAAATTAAAATGTTTCAGACAACACTGGCTTGGTAAAATTGGTTTCAGATTCATTCGATTTAATGCATTTAGCTACAATATTAAGCCATATAGGAATGCAGAAAAGTACTCAAGAACCAGTATATATACACGTAGTAATCTCCAATATTATAGTAACTAAAATTCTTTAATCTCCAGCATTAACTCAACCTGAGGGGCAAGCATATTAATTAATTAGCAATACTATTGAGAGGCCCACACGTCAGAAAAACCATTAATATTCTAAAGTTCACGGTCGAAAATGTTTTTGTTGAAGACAGTGGGAAAAGAGCCGTGACAAAACGTCACAGCCGAGTATGACACACTAGGTTTCATCAACGTCAAGGCAAAAGTAAATTTCACAAAGTAATAATAATAAAAAAAAAGAAAATAAATACTTAAAAAAAAAACTAAACAAAAATCTACAACATGCATGGAGAGGGTCCCGAAGCCTCACGCTTGATTGCCAAGTCTCTTTTTGTTTAGTCTCCTCCAACATGCACTGGCCCCCTCTTTCTCTGACCATTCACGAGACCCCTCTATTTCTTTCTCTTTCTCTCTATCTTTCTACCTCTCTCTCTCTTTCTCCAGAGTTAACTCGGTCGCTTTTAGACCGAGAACTCGGCATATCATTTTCTTTTCTGATCTAGCTCCTAATAATTGTAATCTCTACTCTTCCAAATTTGCGTATCTGTTCTATCCAAAACTAGCTAAAAATGTTTCTCGATCAACATGGATTGTTTTGTACAAGCAGTACAAACTTGATCAGGGCCTAATGTAATTAGGAGTACCTCTTTTTTCTGTTGTTTCTAGAAGATCAGAAGCTCAAATATGATCAGTGATTCCCTGCGCTGTACTGGCTTAAGTTCATGGCCGAACCCATTGAAGCAAACTTGGCGAGCTCTTGTTGAAAGAATGACCCGCTCCCATGGTGGTGATGATGGTGGTCACTTCCTACTCCGAGAAAATCTCTAGTCAAACTGTGCTCATTCTCATTAGTATTGGATTGGGACTGCTTCATATTATTAGCCATATTTAGCTGGTCCAAATTGCTCTTGGAGTTTCCCAAGAACATTGATGACGATGACCTCGTCATGACTTGGCCTCCTGCTGCAGCTTGATGATGATGATCTGCTACGTTAATATTTGTTGCCGTTTGAGAGTTCACCAAGTCGTTGAAGCTATCGGTTGTGGTACTGGTCTGATTTGGTAATTGTGATGACCTGACGAATAGCTTGTTCTGAGAGCTGAAGCTATTATTCGTAGCTGAATTATTATTGTTAGAAGACGAGGACATCAAACCAAAAGCGCTTCCATTGAAAGCTGAGCAGCTACTTCGTGTGGATCCCATTTGGGCTGCTTTCTGCAGAAGCGCAGTGGCGGACATGTGAGCTGGACTCTGTTGGAGGTTCTGGATGCTTGGATGCTGCAGAGAAGACATTGTTTCCGATACTCCATTATTATTAGCACCATTAATTCCTTTGGATTCTTCATCTTCCTCCTTTAATAGTCCCCGAGGCAGCATCGATGACGAGGACGACATAGCAAGCTGCCCCGAATTATTGTTGAGCCACGGAGTCGTCGACGACGGTTGTCCGAACAAGTTCACTGTGGCTGCGCCCTGTAGCAGGTCATGCTGAGGCAGTAGCCCCGTTGAGTTTCCGGCCATAAAAGCGTTGGAGTTGAGCTGCTGATGATGGTGAGAATTCGCGGAGTCTAGCCAAAGTGGAACTCTCGGCCTAATTTGGCCGTGGTCCGAAGTGGCGTTGCCGAAGTTGTTCGGCGACTCAGCGGCGAAGTCCGGTGGGAAGATCGGCGAGAGGTGAGGCATGATTCTGGCTGCAGCTGCTTGAGGATTGTTGTTGCTGTTGTGGTTGATATTAATGAAGTTTGGAATATTTGGAGTTGTCACTGCGCCAAACCGGGCGTTTTCTTCGGCTAAAGCGTCACAGAAAGCTCTATGAGTTATGAAGCTATCCTTCCTGTTTTATGACACCCCAAAACCCCCATTTGAGTAATGTTAATATGTTAGTTATATATCAACTATACATATATATATGTGTGTGTGTGTGTGTGTGTGTGTGTATATGTTGCCCTAGCTAGCATTAAATTCAGATGAAAATTAAATCCATGAAAGCTGCGTCAACGTGAGAAATATATATAGCATTATATTGACTCAACTAACTAATCATAGGAAGTATAGCAGAATTTATGAGAACAAAAGAAGAGGGTATATATACAAACACTGGACTACACACACACACACCTGGAGAAGAGTGTTCCACAGTCACATTTATACTCTCTAGTCCCACAAATCTTGCTGTGAGCTTTCCAATCCGATTGAACCGCGTACTTCTTGGAACACTTCTCGCACTTCCACTTCTTCTCCCCGTGCTTCCTACTGTAGTGCTTCTTTATTCCGGTGAGGTCGCCGAGGGCTCGCGACGGGTCGTGGTGTACGCAGCTCTTTTCGGGGCAGACGTAGACCTTTTTCCGGATAACGTCTTTGTTGCTTCTCTGTCGGAGCTTCCATGGAAGGTTGTGTCCCCGTCGGTGGAGCTGCAAGTTCTGGTCTCTCTGGAAACCCTTGTTGCAGATTTCGCAGATGAACCGGTTCGTCGCCATTAGAGACTTTGGGGACAAAGCTACGACTTCTGCATCTGGATCTGCAACCAAAAATAAAAAAAATAAAAAAAATACTCAGAAAAATAATTAATTTATAAGCTGAAGATATATGTGTGTGTGTATATATATGTATTTATTTATTTAGTATAGATGTAAACTTGCCTGGGTTTCCAGGTAAGCTTCTCTTCTTCTTATTGGCTGAAGATGGGTTTGAGTTAGGGTTAGGGTTTGGATCTGGGGGCTCTTGAGGAAACCCTCTGATGTTGGAAAGCCCATCTTCAGATAACATCTTGGATGAACTGATAGGCTAAAAAAGAAACTATGTATATATATATATATATATATACTTGTGGTTATGTCGTTAATAACCAATTCAAGTACTGGACAAGAGAACTAACTCAGAAGATTGCTAGAAATGGCAATCGTCCAGTTACCAAAAGAAAAATGAAAGCTTTAACAGCAGAACACAATTGAAGAAATGATCTCAGAGAGAATATAGATACGTAAATATTTTGTTCGATTGAAGAAAACAAAAGAAACCCAGAGAGTTGAACTTGGTCCAAACTCTATATACCGATTGACTCTTTCTGGTAAGTCCTTCTCTTTGCTTGAGCTAGCTGATTGGAAGGAAAAACCAAAGAGAAAAAAAGGAGGCTGAAGAGATAATATTTCTCAACTCTCTCTCTCTCTCTCAATCCTTATCTGATACGGCTGCTCTCAAAGTCGGTCAGCCATAGACTCCGCTGGACCACACTACATGCCATATTTCTTTCACTCTCTCTCTCCTTGCCTGATATTATAATATACAATATTCTATTAATAAAGTGACTAATATGCAAACATAAGCAGAGATGTTTCAAACTTGTATTTTTTAAATTATTATATATTTAAGGGATCAAGAAGGAATACCGAATAAATTATATATTAATTAACATACTGAAAAAGATATATGCATGTAAAAAGTTTTAAACATCAAATCAAATCAAACTTGATTTCAAAAAGTTGTTGTGTGTGAGAGAGAGAGAGAGAGAGGGGGAAGGGAAAAGTGAAATGCCTTTTACAGCCAACCAATTCATGAGGGGTAAAAATCATTATGCCATAATTGTCTTAGGACCACGGGAGAGAGAGAGATAGAGGAGAGAGAGAGAGGGAGAGAAGAGGGAGGTGCCGTCCGTGAGACCTGACTGGCTGAGGTGGGGGACCCAAAGAAAAAGAGAGACAGTATTAAGTGACAGTGAAGAAGGGAAAGTTGATAATACAAACAGACATGAGATGACTCGTACCGCTTGATATGTCGACCAGCCCACCACTCCCACGAGACTCGCCCCTTTCATTTCTACACTCACTCAACCACACGATCCTCTAGAAATTCGTTCCCACAAAAGTACTATTACTATACTACACTATACTATTTTGATTCATAAATTTAAACGGAATAATTTAAACATAAATTTAAATTTTATGAGACAAAATACTATAATAAAAATGTTTAAACAGTAGTTTAAATTATAAATCAAACACATAGATTGTAAATTGGAGAATCTTACAAGTCAACTTAGTATATATCATGTTTATGATGATTCTATATTAATTACTTACTCCAATTCCATGCAGTCCTTGCATCTATGTAATTAGGTTAGATAGACTTTACTTATACTGTTATGTGATCATTAGTACTTAGTAAAGGGAAGAATTAATAACCCCTTTGAGTATAAATTACAAAATTTAGTTTAATTTTATGTTCACTCACACTCACTGCTTTTAGAGAGTTAATTAAAGAGAATTTTTTTTTTTATAATTTTGTACGAATATGGTTTGTTTAAAGTGAATATTGAACTCTATTTATCTCATGAAAGAGTAATAAGTTACATATATAGATCAACCTTATGCTAACAACAAACGAGACAAATATCTGAACTCGTCTCAATATAACTATATAATTAGATTTATACTGTTATAAGATGATATATATATATATATAGTGGGGAATAATAGAATTACCAGTATTTATGTTTACTCTTACCTGCAAATCACCGGTAATTTTAAAAAGTTGATAAAAGAGTGAATTTTGATAATTCTGTACGAATAATACGAATAGAGTTAGTTTAAAGTGAGCAGTACTGAAAACTCTATTTATCTGAAATAGAGACAATGTTATAATCTACATATAATACAGAGCCTCATGGCAACGGCTATGGACGCACGTGTTTTTGTACCCGTCCAAATTGTCGTCATGTTTTCCATAGTTTTTAAGAAACACTTCATGGCAGAATTAGGGAAGGTAGGGGAAAAATGAAAGACCACCTAACTAATTAAAGGATAGGGTCGGGGAAAACATTATATGTTTTCCACGTCATATGTCTGTATATATATTTAGAGAGAAAAGAGTCACAGAGAGAGATGTACAATTTAATAGTGCATATTCGTTTTTATCGTTTTTCCATTTGTCTTTTATGAAATTCTCCTGGTTTACTGGTTTCGGCACATGTAATCCAAGAAACTGCATATTTAAAGTACCTTAAAAAACAGAAACGGTAAAACGAATATCATTATAAGTTCAACACTATGTCAAATTCTTGTTTAACTTTCTTACATATAGTCATTATCAATAATTATTGCATATGACATTTTATCAAATATAATGCTTAACTTCGAAACAAGTTATAATGAATAATATACTTTGGTGAGATGTAAAATTCATGGCTAGGTATGACTAGAATCAAACACATGGCTACATGAAGTATACATGGATAACCGGTTAGGTCGTTCTCAATAAAACTTTTAAAAGCAACCTCTTACGTTATAAATTTACCTAATCTGGTCCGACTATATTTAAAAAAGAAAAGAGAAAAATATATATTCCCTTAATAAATTAATTAGAATTTTTTTTGACAGAATAATAAATTAAGATTTTGATTCAACCACTTTTGGCTTTATGCATTCGGACCTTACCCTCAAAAAACATGGATTCTCTCTCTTACCCTCTCATCGATCCCTGAAGACACATATAAAAAATTCTTTCATTTTCTCAAACCCTAATTCTCTTGGGAATATGAGGGAATAATATATTATATTCGTTCAAATTAATGATCCGATAGACACGGCATTCTTTCACATCTCTCCAACGCATATATGTGTAGAATCCCCGCTCTCTCCAATGAGAAAAATATATGTGCTTTGTTTTGTTTTTTCCTTCGAATTCTTGTTTGGTATTCTTGGGTTTGAAAACTCAATTTTAAAACGCAACGACAGTCATGTGAAGCTAGTTCTTATATATATATATATATGTGTGTGTGTGTGTGTGTGTGTGTGTGTGTGTGTGTGCATATATATACATATATATATATATATATAATTAGGCACAGACCATTTTAAATATGGGAAGAAACGATTGGTTAGTTTCTTTTGCTTTTATATTTTTGGGCGTGTTTAGTAATTACTCGCGTTAGATATTTTAAGTTATATCTTGCTCACTTGACAAAAAGGTCAAATTGACATGAATTCATCAATATCATGGAAGATATTCATGTGATGTTGGGAGACGCTTTTCGCGTGGCATCAATAATGCAGAGAGAAATCTTGACCGGAGCAGTACTAAATTGATATACAATATAGTACTGAGCCCAATCCAAGGAAAAAAAAAGTTTTCGGTAATAAAAATTTTTCACAATTACTTATTTTTCAAGGAAATTAAAGAGAAACGTCATAGAAGAATATATAGAAATTAAAAAGGAAAGATATTTAATTACACCTAGATATTAAGGGGCAATTAAAGCAAAACCCCTCTATGAAAGATCAAAGTACTATATATACTTTCAGAGCAAAAAAAGTACTACATATATTTTCACACAAAAAAAAAAAAGATAAAAGTACTACATAACTCAAGAAACCAAGTACTTTGTGAGCCCATAATTAAGAAGTAATTCGGTCAACAACCATGCTCGTTGCACGATTGTAGAAATTGGACTTTTAAAGATTTGAATTTCATCTAACATACAGATATATCACCCAAAAAATGTCATCTTTACATTTATGCCACTCGTGATATTACAACATTTATGCCATTCAATTTATTAGGAAAACATTCTATCATAATATTTTTAACCACTTATCATTTTATTTTTTCTTCTCGACAAAGATAGTCGGACAGTTTCAGAGAGTATTTCTGCTAGAATAATTTTTATTTTTTTGATAATATTTTTTTAAACGAATAATGATGTCATAAATGAAAAGTTGATTAATTTTGATGGCATATTATGTAATTTTCTCATAAATTGTTAAGTAGGATGAACCAATGTTCTTAATCATAAGTTTATATTTATTTTCATATTACGGTACTCAAATCAATTTTTTCCTTTCCACATTTTATCCTCCTATATGTATGAGAGACTAAAACAATAATAAAGTTTTTCAGAAGTATCTAACAATGCCTTCCTAAGAATCAACCAAGGAGCCTAAAAAGCCCTTTTACTTAGGCTAAACAAATTTTATGTCAACCCGATTTCACTTATTTCACAATTTATTTAATTTGTTCCTTTGTCCTTTCTTTTCTCAAATTATTGATCCACCGCCTTGAATTTTCAGTGTTTATACAATGTATAAATAACGACTCTCGGATACTATATATCACACGTACAAACAGATATATATTTTTAAAATTCATGGATTTAGTTTTTTAAAAGGGGCCAAGAAGAAAATGGCGGATTTAATTTTTAGAAAGAACCAGGATGACTTTTGCTTTGAACATAGAAATTTTAGGTGATCAAAATTTACCTTATTCAAATGAAAAGAAGATATATAATGATATTAGAACATGCAAGTCGCAAGATATATCTGTGCACGACGTACTAAAAAGTTATGGTTCAGCGCTATCTACGATATCAGCCACGAGTGTATATATATATATATATATATATATATAAGATTAAAAATTGAGCTTCATGCTAGTGAAAAGGTCACATAGAAGGGACCAATATACAAACAGATTAGCCGTATTGGCAGGTAACATTTATGGATTTCATACTTCTTTGGTTTGACTGACTCTAATATATAAAGGAAAAGTCGGACTTTTGTCCTCGTCAATACTAATATTATCAAGCTTTTTCCTCTTGCCCCTAATGCCTTTTTAGTTATTAATGTAATAAAAAAATGCCTTTTGAATCACAGTTTCATTTTATGTCTCTTTCATTAACCGCTACTTATAGATCAAATATTATGTTTTACTTTAATAAATTAATGGCAATTACATTGTATAAATATATATATCCCTCAGTCTCCAAAAAATATCATATTATCTGGTTATCGTAACAAATGGGTGCTCATATGATTTTTCCCAATTTGACCGTAGGACGTTTCCATATATACAGAAGTTACAATAATATTGTTGATAATCGCAACAACAACAACAACAACAAAAAAAAAAAAAAAAAGGCAAAAGAAATTATATGTTGATCATCAATCACGGCAGGCCCTTATCATTGTATTTGTATAGGTATATGTCAGATATAAATTATACCA